CATCTAGTGCCAATTGGTCTGTAAAAATTTTGGTGTTTATACTACAATCACAAGCCAACTAGATAAATCACTCAACACACACCCCCACCCCTTCCGGTGTTTTTTTTTTGTTGTTGTTTAAAGTGTTTTTTCCTTTAAATGTGGCCAAAATATATCACTTGCACTGTTTGTTTTTTTTTTCTTCCAAAATCTCTCTTTTCATTCCCAGTTTCCGCAGAGCCTCAGTATCTAATTGTTTTCTCCCCCATGAAATACAACCCATTCATCTGGACATCCATGCCTCCAGAAACTGAATTTGATTTTCTAAATGCTTTTTCACTGTCCAGGCTTCTGCACCCTGCAGCTGGGTTATATCATCTATTCTCAAATTAAGTGTTACTGCTTGAATTTGTCTATCTTCTTACCATGAATATTCAAATTTGCAGGTGATCAATGAATTAGAACACAGGTCTCTCAATACCTAGAGACTTTAAAATCCCAGCCTGACCAAGTAAAAACTTTCTATCCATAAGAGGCAGAATTTCAGAATATTCCAAACAACTGTGTGCATGTTGTCTGCAAGGGGAAATTACTCTTAACATCTCCTAACAGACATGACACAATGGTCCAACAAGGTTGCAACAGTTTTGTTTTTGTTGTTGTTACAACTAGGAAGGAGAAACAGGGATGTGACATGTGGGAAGGAGAAACAGGGATGTGACATCTGAGAAGGAGAAACAGGGATGTGACATCTGAGAAGGAGAAACAGGGATGTGACATCTGAGAAGGAGAAACAGGGATGTGACATGTGGGAAGGAGAAACAGGGATGTGACATCTGAGAAGGAGAAGCGAGGATGTGACATCTGAGAAGGAGAAACAGGGATGTGACATGTGGGAAGGAGAAACAGAGATGTGACATCTGAGAAGGAGAAACAGGGATGTGACATCTGAGAAGGAGAAACAGGGATGTGACATCTGGGAAGGAGAAGCAGGGATGTGACATCTGAGAAGGAGAAGCAGGGATGTGACATGTGGAAAGGAGAAAAAGGGATGTGACATCTGAGAGGGAGAAATAGGGATGTGCCAAAGTTGGTTTTTTATACAGATCAAGACATTGCTTCAATATGTGCTATCCTGTGTAGACACTAGACTGACTACCAACACAAGGATCAATCACTGAGGGTTGCAGCATGTCTCCATGAGATTAGCAATAACAGATAACTCCAGCAACATCCATTGTGACCCTTACAAATCTATTTGTAGATTTTGTGATTAAAATATAATTACATCTCAAACATGGCTCCCAGCCTTGAGTGGGTACCGGGTGCAGTCCTGGGAAGTAAAGGTGGCCGGAGTGATGCTGACCACATCACCCATCTTGGCTGATTGGTCTATAAAAATATAGGTCTAGCCCTATACGCCTAAAGGTATGGATAAGGGTGCTTTACTTTTTTTTTTTTACTTACATCCCAAACATATTTATCTATAGAATATCACACTTTGCTATTTCATTACAACTGATTGCTTAAGCTATATCTAGTCACCTGCAACATTTTATTTGGATTCAATGGTCTCCAAATTTATTTTTAAAGACCAAAGTTCTTTTTGTAAACGTACTTAGCTTCCGTTGAAGCCGAGGTAGCACAGCGACTAGACACCAGATCAAAGATGATGTGTTGGAATCTGCTGTTCAAATTTTTTTTTTAATACTTGACTTCCAAGCATAAAAAAGTGCCAGAATTTTTCAGGCAGCCAGCATGATTGTGACAGCACTGCCTAGTGAGTGCCAACTGGTTTATGAAAACAGGGGTGCAGCACCAAATACTGAATGGATCACTGATGTGAAAAAGGTCTTTCACTTAGCTTCAATAGGATTTATTCTTTATATGCTGTCCAAGTGTTATATTAAGGGCTTTCTTCTGATGGTAAGCAATGGTATGCAGTACCAGCACCTTTGTAAAGCATCAGTTTTTTTCCAAAGCTTCTGCAGTAAACACTCTGTTGTGAGTTTTTCCTAGGGGAAAAAAGCCCTGGCCTTGTTATAGAAATCAAGGTATAAGCATCTAAATCCCATCTAAATAGTGCACTTGGTATAATATCTAAATCACATCTAAATAGTGCACTTGGTATAATATCTTAATCACATCTTATTAGTGCACTTGCAGCTTGTCACCTCCAGGATTACTCGCCTCCACCTTCAGGATTACAGCCTGCAGGATTGCTCGCCTCAAGGATGGGAATCCTACACATGCAAATCCTGGTAAGCCTTGCTAAACAGTAAGGATACACCCCCCCCCTCCCCCCCCCCCCCCTCCCCAGCTGTTACTCCAGATCTAATTATTCTCAAGCAGGCAAGCAGGAAATTTTATTTAAGTTTAAAAAAAAAATTTTTTTAAAAGGTGGGTATAATGAACAACATAATGTGACCTGGGTTTATGATTTATTAAGGCAGAATGGAGACTACAAATAAATCAGAAACTCAGTAGATAACGTGGTTTCTTTACTGCTACTAGCAACTACAACTGAAAAAAGGAAAATAGACACTTAACAAATCTACAATATTCTATACCGTGTGCTACTGAATCAGTTTTAACATTATTTCTGATAGAAATTAGTTTCTGTTGACACAACACAGATTAACGCAAAAGATTTTTACTACAATGAGTTGAAACTGATACAACTAAGAAAAAGCTAACTTCTTTGGTACCAGAATATTTTACAGCAAAATAACCAATGGGGTAAAAAGGCAATGGCAAAAAATATGAAAGCACTGCTTTCAACGTTGTAATAAACACAGTGAAAGTAGTCACTATAAACACCAGATTTCTTTAGTATCTTCAAGCCAAGTATAAGGGGATCCTGCTGACGCTCAACACTCAAGGGATAGATGAGATGTATATACAATCTCTTGCCGACACTCAGCACTCAAGGGATAGATGAGATGAATATACAATCTCTTGCCGACACTCAGCACTCAAGGGATAGATGAGATGTATATACAATCTCTTGCCGACACTCAGCACTCAAGGGATAGATGAGATGTATATACAATCTCTTGCCGACACTCAGCACTCAAGGGATAGATGAGATGTATATACAATCTCTTGCTGACACTCAATGGATAGATGAGATGTATATACAATCTCTTGCCGATACTCAGCACTCAAGGGATAGATGAGATGAATATACAATCTCTTGCCGACACTCAGCACTCAAGGGATAGATGAGATGTTATATACAATCTCTTGCTGACACTCAATGGATAGATGAGATGTATATACAATCTCTTGCTGACACTCAACACTCAAGGGATAGATGAGATGTATATACAATCTCTTGCTGACACTCAACACTCAATGGATAGATGAGATGAATATACAATCTCTTGCTGACACTCAACACTCAAGGGATAGATGAGATGTATATACAATCTCTTGCTGACACTCAATGGATAGATGAGATGTATATACAATCTCTTGCTGACACTCAACGGATAGATAAGATGTATATACAATCTCTTGCCGACACTCAACACTCAATGGATAGATGAGATGAATTTACAATCTCTTGCTGACACTCAACACTCAAGGGATAGATGAGATGTATATACAATCTCTTGCTGACACTCAACACTCAAGGGATAGATGAGATGAATATACAATCTCTTGCCGACTCTCAGCACTCAAGGGATAGATGAGATGAATATACAATCTCTTGCCGACTCTCAGCACTCAAGGGATAGATGAGATGTATATACAATCTCTTGCCGACTCTCAGCAGTCAAGGGATAGATGAGATGTATATACAATCTCTTGCCAATGCTCAACACTCAAGGGATAGATGAGATGTATATACAATCGCTTGCCGACTCTCAGCAGTCAAGGGATAGATGAGATGTATATACAATCTCTTGCCGACACTCAGCACTCAAGGTATAGATGAGATGTATATACAATCTCTTGCCGACTCTCAGCACTCAAGGGATAGATGAGATGAATATACAATCTCTTGCCGACTCTCAGCACTCAAGGGATAGATGAGATGTATATACAATCTCTTGCCGACTCTCAGCAGTCAAGGGATAGATGAGATGTATATACAATCTCTTGCCAATGCTCAACACTCAAGGGATAGATGAGATGTATATACAATCGCTTGCCGACTCTCAGCAGTCAAGGGATAGATGAGATGTATATACAATCTCTTGCCGACACTCAGCACTCAAGGTATAGATGAGATGTATATACAATCTCTTGCAGACTCTCAGCACTCAAGGGATAGATGAGATGAATATACAATCTCTTGCCGACTCTCAGCACTCAAGGGATAGATGAGATGAATATACAATCTCTTGCCGACTCTCAGCACTCAAGGGATAGATGAGATGTATATACAATCGCTTGCCGACTCTCAGCACTCAAGGGATAGATGAGATGTATATACAATCTCTTGCCGACTCTCAGCACTCAAGGGATAGATGAGATGAATATACAATCTCTTGCCGACTCTCAGCACTCAAGGTATAGATGAGATGTATATACAGTCAGATTTCTACTGTTATCAATGGAATCTGAACTCTCACCTGCTGCTGAAGATGGGTATAGAGCGCTATTGGGAATGTCCCAAGGAGTGTGATGTCGATTCATAATTCAACATTCAAGAACACAAGACGTGATATTAGGACTCTGGTAAGAAAATCAGTGATACAGAATGTATTGCTAAAGAGTGAAAAAGTTAAGTTTTTAAAAAAAACATGAGTAAATGACATACACCCACATATAATATTTTTAAGCATATGCAAAACCTTTGTGCTAGTGGTTCTATTCCATATCTTTCTTAACATTTCTATCCTAAATTTGGACCAGAAGACACACAAATCCTGGTGGTATATATCACTGAGACATTCCAAATGTTGTGTCTGCTTCACTCATAGATATAGCCCACACGAAGCTTTGTCTTAAGGTGATCACAAGACTCTACAACTACCCGTGTACTAAAATCTGGTCTATTTGACGATGGGTCACCATAAATGGATCTCTCGAATTTCTCCAATAATCTGGCTGGCTCGCTGCAAGGCCTGAAATATATAATAAACATACAAAGATCATCCAGTTGCAATAGGTTAAAAAAATATAATGGGATATACCAACAAATAGTCAACAAACATGCTTCTCCTTCTAGTCCTGCCAGAGCTTCTCATCATGTGGTGGTCTGTGACACCCACCCACCCTCCTTTTCAGGTCTGCAGAACAAATTTAAGGAATCAGTGACATTACTCCTGATGTGGATTCTGGGGCTCCATTGTGGGGAAAAACAACAATAGACCCACTGCCTACCCAACAAGCACGGTTAGAGTCAACTAACTGGGGGTTTCCTTTAAAGTCACAGTGCATCTGCCTGAGAGGCAATGAACCAACAATCTGCATCCAAATAAGTCAGATCTGTAAAACGGATGTGTATATACACTCAGGTTCTGGAACAAGTCTAAAGTCCAGAGGTGGATGAACAACCAGAATTTTTTGCCGGATTTTACAGCTGGTGAACACAAAACAGAAGAAGAAGAAAACTGGAAATTATTTACCTTTCTCTCCCCCCCCCCCCCCCCCCCCCCCCCCACCCCCCCCCCCCCCCCCCCCCCCCCCCCCAAAAAAAAAACTGTTAGAATGCACCCCAAATAACAAATTCACAGAGGCAGCCCACTTGACAATGTGACTTGAGTATACAAATCTGAATGCAAAGACGAAAAAGAAAAATATAACCCTGTTGGTGATTTTAATATCTATCAAATATAAGTTCTTCAGTATGATTGTTAAAAAGTATGTGGCCTATGGCAGAATTTTTACAAAAAGTGGGGTCCACAGTTCTTAGATACTGGGAACCACTGGTCTCAGCCACCGATTCCCGAACTCATTTAGCTGCCACCTCATGTCTAAGAGAGAGATAAAGACACAGAGAGAGGGAGGAGGGGGGGGGGGGAAGACTAAATAACCCTAGATATCTGTCTTACAGCAAGATGGAGGAAACATGTACTTTATTTTATGTATGTCTTTCTTCTTGCACATTACCTCATTAGTAATTTAAAGAAAAAAAAAAGATCCCTTTTCATGCCTTTAGGTGCATCGGGCATATGGGAAGAGCACCCATATTTTTACAGACTAATCAGCACTAGATGGGTAATGTGGTCAGCATTACGCCGGCCGCCTTTAGTTCCCCAAGACATACATCCTAGTACCTATTTTAGGATGGGTCGGCCTGCCATTACCCCATTAGTTAGTTTTTCCTCTTGTGTCGAGTGCGGCACATAGGGCAGAGGTCATGACTCTCCATGCATGGCGGTTCGATGCAATCTGTTGTAGGTCTTGGATGTTTGAGTGGCCCATGAGTGAGCCTTCCCTGATGATAGTACCCCATACTCAAGGAAAATGTAAATAAGACACACGGAAACTCAACTCTAGCCATCTATTTAGAAAATGGGAGTCTTGTAACCCTTGACTGTAGAAGCTTATCTCCTACTCTGTACTTCAACATACCAACAGCAATGCATCAGTTAAGATCCTTCCCCCCCCCCACCCCACCCCACCCCACAAACACACAAACAAACACACACACAAACAAAACAAAATAAACAAACAGAAAGGACTTGCTTGTTGAGACAGAGGTTCAAAACCCCAGTAAGTTAAAAAAAAAAAAAAAAAAAATTACAATAGAAGTAAACAACTCATCTGTATGCCAGTTTTGTATCAAGCATATGATGCCAGATTCATACTTTATTGGACAAACTGGCACTTGGCTGATGCTATGGTCAGCATCATGCTGGCTGCCTTTACTTGCCATGCACCCATTTTATGCTAGATCTTCCTTTGCAGACTGCTGGTTCCTCAACTGTCAGGGAGATGTATTCTGCCTTCGCCCCCCCCCCCCCCCTTTTCCAACAACATGACTGTTAGAACACACACTGGGATCATGAGGAAACACACCTGCAGCATTTCCAAGGCCTCCTTCCTCCGTGCTGCTATGTGCACAGATTCCTCCAGCAGAGTCTCAATCTCCTCTTTCTTGTAGAGCTGGCTGACAAGCTCACTCTGGGGAGAACGAATGCAGCAACCATCAACAAATGTAAGGATCTAGCACTATTTAGAGGAGAACAAATGCAGCAACCATCAACAAATGTAACGATCTAGCACTATTTAGAGGAGAACAAATGCAGCAACCATCAACAAATGTAATGATCTAGCACTATTTAGAGGAGAATAAATGCAGCAACCATCAACAAATGTAATGATCTTGCACTATTTAGAGGAGAATAAATGCAGCAACCATCAACAAATGTAATGATCTAGCACTATTTAGAGGAGAATAAATGCAGCAACCATCAACAAATGTAATGATCTAGCACTATACAGAGGAGAACAAATGCAGCAACCATCAACAAATGTAATGATCTAGCACTATTTAGAGGAGAACAAATGCAGCAACCATCAACAAATGTAATGATCTAGCACTATTTAGAGGAGAACAAATGCAGCAACAGTCAACAAATGTAATGATCTAGCACTATTTAGAGGAGAACAAATGCAGCAACCATCAACAAATGTAATGATCTAGCACTATTTAGAGGAGAACAAATGCAGAAACAGTCAACAAATGTAATGATCTAGCACTATTTAGAGGAGAACAAATGCAGCAACAGTCAACAAATGTAATGATCTAGCACTATTTAGAGGAGAACAAATGCAGCAACAGTCAACAAATGTAATGATCTAGCACTATTTAGAGGAGAACGAATGCAGCAACCATCAACAAATGTAATGATCTAGCACTATTTAGAGGAGAACGAATGCAGCAACCATCAACAAATGTAATGATCTAGCACTATTTAGAGGAGAACAAATGCAGCAACCATCAACAAATGTAATGATCTAGCACTATTTAGAGGAGAACAAATGCAGCAACCATCAACAAATGTAATGATCTAGCACTATTTAGAGAACAAATGCAGCAACCATCAACAAATGTAATGATCTAGCACTATTTAGAGGAGAACAAATGCAGCAACCATCAACAAATGTAATGATCTAGCACTATTTAGAGAAGAACAAATGCAGCAACCATCAAGAAATGTAATGATCTAGCACTATTTAAAGGAGAACGAATGCAGCAACCATCAACAAATGTAATGATCTAGCACTATACACAAAAAAAAAAACAAATGCAGCAACCATCAACAAATGTAATGATCTAGCACTATATAGAGGAGAACAAATGCAGCAACCATCAACAAATATAATGATCTAGAACTAAATAACATAATACTGTCCTACCACAGTACATACACAGTAACAGAGGCGTTATAATCCTTCCTTTTCCCAAGTCCACAATTTTGGAATGGATCTAAACTGGCAGATTTAACAACAACAACACCCCCCCCCCCCCCCCCCACCCCAACCACCATCCCACATTATTAATATACTTTATTTTCAAAAATGAAATAAAAATTACATAAAATAATATAAAATAACAATAAGTTAATTTCTCCCCGTGTGGGTTCCGGGGCCCCAGTGTGGGGAAAAAAAAGAATAGACCCACTGCCCACCCAAAATTTTGTCGTAAAAATTGACTAGTTAGGAGCTTCCTTTGAAGTTGGAGTGCATATACTTAAGAGCCAACGAACCAACAGCCTACATATAAATGAGTCAGATCTGTAAAATGGATGTACTCACGCAACACTCAGGATGTGGAATCGGACTAGAGTCCAGAAATGACGAACAACCAGAACTTTCCATCAGAGTGTACAGCCAGTGAACATGAAGAAGAAAAAGAATGATTTTCATAGGGATGAGCTGCAATATGGTCCTTACGGGAGGAAGGAGGGGAGAATGGCATAACAGCTAGGTGCTCGCCTACTGCCCAATGGTCTTGGGCTCAAATTCCCACTGAAGCAGATTTATAAAAACAATGATCTTGGCTCCCAGGTCAACCCAGCCTAAAACAGATACCAGGTAATGTCTGAGGAAGTAAAGGCAGCACTTTGTGTGATACTGATCACACAGTCTCTTGTACACCAACTGGTCTATAACAATGAGCCTGGCATCATTTGCTTAATGCGCAACAAGTGCCTTACTTTGATATTTTTTGCTTTATTCACTGGGTAGTCTGGGAGTCACCGTGGCGGAGCGGCTAGAGTGGTCGCAGATCGGAAGGTCGTGAGTTCGCTCCCTGGAAGAGCCGGACTTTTTTTCAAAAATGACCTTGGCTCCCAGTTTGACCCAGCCTTGAGTGGGTTTCGGGTGCAGTCCCGGGAAGTAAAGGCGGCCGGCGTGATGCTGACCACATCACCCATCTTGTGCTGATTGGTCCTTAAAATATAGGTCTAGCCCTATATGCCCTATACGCCTAAAGGCGTGGAAGAGGATCCTTTACTGTGTAGGTTGGCAACCAGTTGTAACATAAGTTATAAGACAAAGAAGACAGTGCTTTACTGGACACATCCTGAGAAGAAATGAGCAGAGAATCACCAAACAGGCACAAAAAAGGAAACGAAGGGACTCAGGAAGCGAGGACTTCCAAAAGAATCCCTAAATACAAGAGGTCAAAGGTGCTGGACTGGACTCCATTCACGATATCAAAGGGATTGCACAGGACAGGACAAAACAGAGCAACAGACTTTAATTCAATGGGTCAACGTCATGGCACATGGGGTGCAACCCATAAGTGCTTTGTTCTCAAGCCTGAGTCTGAAGAATCTCAGCTCAGTGCACGAACTCCGCTGCACCCGCGAGGATCCTGAAATATTTTGGGTAGATTTTTAACTCAAAATTTTGCCCGGGCAGCACCGTTGGGCAACTCTTTTTGATTTCCAACCGCCAAGGGATTTATTTTAACATGCACAACAATACACATAGGCGTCTGATCTTACTACCCAGAGACCAGGGCAAATTTCTAGAAGTCCACGTGAAAAATCCCAGCCTACACCGGGGCTTGAACCCAGGACCTCCAGCACTGGAGGTGGATGCCATACCTCGAGACCACTCAGCCCCCTAGAGGAATAGACTGCATGCCCTATGTGACATACAATGGCACAACAGGACAATGATGATGATGATGAGGTGCAGGTATCAGTGACTGTATGTATGTATGTAATGTCTAAGAGCTCAATAAATGGTAAATATACAAGAGAACTTTTCCAGATTTGTTTTCACCAAACAAAAAACAAGAATTGTTAATTAAGCAACTGTGTGGGTACTACTCATTAATTTTGTGTCGATACTGCCGAATACTTGTATGTCAATACTGCTGATTACTGCTGTGTGGGGACTGCTGATTACTGCTGTGTGGGTACTGCTGATCACTGCTGTGTGGGTACTGCTGATTACTGCTGTGTGGGGACTGCTGATTACTGGTGTGTGGGGACTGCTGATTACTGCTGTGTGGGGACTGCTGATTACTGCTGTGTGGGGACTGCTGATTACTGCTGTGTGGGGACTGCTGATTACTGCTGCTGTGTGTGGGACTGCTGATTACTGCTGTGTTACTGCTGTGTTACTGCTGTACTGCTGTGTGGGGACTGCCGATTACTGCTGTGTGGGGACTGCCGATCACTGCTGTGTGGGGACTGCTGATCACTGCTGTGTGGGGACTGCTGATTACTGCTGTGTGGGGACTGCTGATTACTGCTGTGTGGGGACTGCTGATTACTGCTGTGTGGGGACTGCTGATTACTGCTGTGTGGGGACTGCTGATCACTGCTGTGTGGGTACTGCTGATCACTGCTGTGTGGGTACTGCTGATCACTGCTGTGTGGGGACTGCTGATTACTGCTGTATGGGGACTGCTGATTACTGCTGTGTGGGGACTGCTGATTACCGCTGTGTGGGGACTGCTGATTACCGCTGTGTGGGGATGCTGACTGCTGTGTGGGGACTGCTGATTACTGCTGTGTGGGGACTGCTGATTACTGCTGTGTGGGGACTGCTGATTACTGCTGTGTGGGGACTGCTGATTACTGCTGTGTGGGGACTGCTGATTACTGCTGTGTGGGGACTGCTGATTACTGCTGTGTGGGGACTGCTGATTACTGCTGTGTGGGGACTGATTACTGCTGATTACTGCTGTGTGGGGACTGCTGATTACTGCTGTGTGGGGACTGCTGATTACTGCTGTGTGGCTACTGCTGATTACTGCTGTGTGGGGACTGCTGATTACTGCTGTGTGGGGACTGCTGATTACTGCTGTGTGGCTACTGCTGATTACTGCTGTGTGGGTACTGCTGATTAATGCTGTGTGGCTACTGCTAATTACTGCTGTGTGGGGACTGCTGATTACTGCTGTGTGGGTACTGCTGATTACTGCTGTGTGGGTACCGCTAATTACTGCTGTGTGGGGACTGCTGATTACTGCTGTGTGGGTACTGCTGATTACTGCTGTGTGGGTAATGCAGGTTACTGTTGTGTGGATACTACTGTTAACAAATTTGTGGGTACTGTTGTGTGTGTAATGCTGCTATCTGTTACACGGCTGCTGTCTGTTACATCGCTGCTGTCTGTTACATGGCTGCTGTCTGTTTCACGGATGCTGAATGTTGATTACCTGTAAGTGATCCTTGACAAAGTTCACCAAGAAATGCATGATGGCCTTGGGCGTGCTATCCTGGATGTTCTTTCTTACAATCATGAAGTATGATTTGATCAAGCGTTCTGTGAAATATTATTCAAGAATTTTTACGATATGTTAGTCAACAGTAATTATCTGTGAAATGTTACTCAAGAATTAATATGTGTCGAATGTGACTCAAGAATTAGCATTTGTAAAATGTTACTCTAGAATGGATGTCTGTGAAGTATTTACTGATGAAACTTCTTCTTCTTCTTCTTTTGCGTTCATCCGAAGATGTAATTGCTTTGTGTCTGTTTACAGCAGCTCTGCGATATTTGCACCTTTAGGCCAACACATCCGACTTCTGCAGGCATTTGTTGACCGGGTTAGCCTTCCCGATTGATGAATCAATATCTTTGAAATGTTACTCAAGAATTAATATCTGGAAAAAAAAATTTTAAAAATTATTATTTGTAAATAAATCTTTAAGAAATATTCTGTATGAAATGTTACAAAAGAATTCATTTGTGGCCAACATAATTTTTTTTCCCTTTTTCCTTTTTATTAAAAAAATTTAATATCTGATTCAACCCTACCTTTTAAACTATTCTTGCAGTCATACTATGCACACAAAAAGGCTTTTTAAATCATCAGCATCAACTGCCAAATCAGCTAATTATCGGTGACTATGGTTACCCATCTCGTAGGGATCTCAGGACTGTGTTCGTATCCTGCATATGCCCGGTAGGATAAGAAATCTATGTATTATTTCTGTGATTTTCCTTGCTGTTTTTTTTTTGCTTTTAAATCAAGTCTGCCAGCTTTTTCTAAGTTCTGAAGTTTCCTGCTCCTCATATTAATACAGATCATCTAGATATACACAATACAGGTTTATTCTACAGCAATGCCAATCACAATGTCTTTGCAATAGAACCCATAGGGTCACAGGAATAAAGGCAGTTAAAAACATACTAAGAAGAGATTAAGAGAGTGAAGTGAAAAAGAATGGAACATCGGGTGAGCTGCACAAAAGAGAGAATGACTCGTGAGCTCTGGTTAAGGTATACTATGCTCCTCTATGAGGATAAAGAGTGTTGGTAGTAGTAGTATTAAGTAAAGTAAAAATCCCTTTCCATACCTTTTAGGCGCATTGGGCATATGAAAAAAGTACCCATATTTTTACAGACCATTCTTCGGCACTAGGTGGGTAATGTGGTCAGCATTACACCGGCCATCTTTACTTTTCCAGGACATACTTCCTGGTACCCATTTTAGGCCGGGTCGACCTGCGATGCCCTATACCATAATAAAAATCCAAGCAGACAGCAGTCGGTTGCGATCACGGTACATTGAAATTATGAGTCGGACTCACAACGCCTAAGCCATGGATGCCTCGTAGTAGTAGAAGAAAAAAAAAGATTGAAGAAGAAGAACAACAACAACAAGGAGGAGGGGTAGGAGAAAGAGAAAGAGGAACAGATGGTGAGCAACACAAAGTCTACCTATAACATCACAGTCTCTTTGCTCTCTTGCTGAAAGTTTCATCACTGGCTGTTCAGGCTGAGTGCACAGAAATACAATATGTGAAAAAAAAACATATGAAGAATCAAAAGTTTAAACATATAAGGAGGGAAATAATGAAGTTATGATGAAGATAATAGTGATTAAGTTTTAGGTCCTATCTGATAAAAATTAACATATGACGAAGATAATAATGATTAGGTTTTAGGTCCTATCTGACTAAATTAACACATGATAAAGATAATAATGAATAATTTTTAGGTCCTATCTGACAAAAAGTAACATACAATGAAGATAATAATGATTAAGTTTTAGGTAATATCTGACAAAAATTAACATACGATGAAGATAATAATGATTAAGTATTAGGTCCTATCTGACTACAGCAAAATGGTAGCTGATTAAAAGGTTCAAAGTTTCAAACATAAGATAAGTAAAGATAATCTGTGTGCTCTTTTTATGTTGGTATTAATTTCTACAAGGCTGTTCTCGATGCCATCATTCCATCGTTTGTGTGGTCTTTAACTTGCTGCGTGTTCCTTATATTTCTTCAGCATGTTTCTCTGTGGCAGATGGTACCTGGGCATTCTCATCACAGCGCTAAACCTTCTCATCTGCAGCTCTTTAATGAACTGTATTGTACAAATGGTTTCAATCCTAGGTTTCTTCTATTTTCTTCAATTTAAATTGTGTCTCTGTTTATTACTCTGGTAACTCTCAGAAAACATATCTCTTGATGTGATTTCCAACTCATTAGTTTACAGTGATTTGATTTGATTGAATTTGATTCAAGAACCGACATCACAGCATTCGGGGCATTCCCAATACTAATGGTGCCAGTAGCTTTCTGATTAAACACCCGTCTTGCCTTTCCTCTGAGCCCTGATCTTCTGCCAGAACCTCTCGTCACCCCCAACTGCATCAATCTCACCACACTGTGGTGATCCATCTGCTCCTCCGAATTGTACACGCTCTCCCACAAGGCACTAACCACGTCTGCCCCATCATGTAGCAGTTAGTTAGTTTACAGTGAGGGTCTGCCTATGTTTGACACTGGTAGCACAGAGTTAGACCCAAAGAAATTCTGATTAGAATGTCCTTGCTATGTGTCAGAAGTGGTTGTCCCGGTCTCTTAGTCGCATAGGGCTCACAGTCTCTTTCTTGATTCTGTTCTATCCTGTGTAATCTCACCGATTTTGTGGATGGAATCCATTCCAGCCCTTGTGGCCTGTCTCATCATTCATTTTAAGGTTTCTTTTGGATGAAAGATTCTTCAATTACTCCCTAATTATTAAGGTTAACCAGATGTAGACATCTTGAATGTTCACCTCTAGCATGCACCTGGACCCAGAGCGTTTCTACTGCATCTACCTTATCATAAAGTAGCTCACTGCACAGAAGAGCAGTAGCAGCAGCAGCAGCCTCCTGCTTATTTCTCCACAGACCGACTTGTACTACCACTGCCTGAAACAAGCAATTTACCAATACCTACCACTTCTGGCAAGAGATTGATGCCCTTCTTGGACCTTGCAGGAGAGGGGGTAGCACTGTTGGCTTCACTACCAGGCTGAGAGGTTGACGCTTCAGACGAGCGATCACTGGCACTCTGGTCCAAGCGGTTGGATCTCATGAAGTTTGTCAGCTTCCAGGAGCCGCCATTCAGGCTGTCTGCAGCTGGGGCAGTATTAGCCTGCAGACATGATCAGTAAACCATAGAAAACATAGAAAACATAGAAAACATAGAAAACATAGAAAACATAGAAAAACAAAGGGACAAGCAAGCTTGCCTGCAGACACACTGGTAAAAGGTTTCTTTTTCTTCTGCATTCACTCTTAAAAGAGCAACTGGCACTATATTGTGGTTTACAGCTAGACTGTGATTTGTGCATCTTTTGGCCAAAAACCTATAATTTCAGCAAAACAGTTAGACATATTTGTTAACTCTTTCAGTACCAGAATGTTCCATGGGAGATATGAAAGGGAAGAAATAACCATGAAGGACAAGCATGAATACTTTACTTCCAAAGTGGCAATATAAACAGTGGTTAAAACAACTGGGGAAGCCAGACTTCTTCAGTATGTTCTTACAAAATTTTACAGATAAAAGATTACATTATGCTTTGGAGGGATATCAAGGGATGGAGACACTTATATATCAGGCATTTCTTGGGACCGTAAGAGTTATGTGGCAGTGGAAACCTACACAGGGAGATCACAGGTTTGAATTCCCATCAAAATGTGCTTGACCGGGGCTCCCAGGCTGATCCAACCTAAAATAGGAAATTTCCTGGGAAGCACAGGCAGGCAGTGTGATACTGACCACTTCACCCACAACCCACAAAGGTGGCTCCACAAGAAAGTCTCCTCTTTCTGTCGCAAATAATGCACTGCACATGACTGGGTATTCTTCTTCTTCGTGTCCATCGGCTGTAAACTCCAACAGAAAGTTCTGGCTGTTTGTCCACCTCTGGACTTTAGACTTGTTCCAGAACCTGAGTGTTGTGTGCATATCCATTTTACAAAGCTGGCCTACTCATTTGCAGACTTTTGGTTCCTTGTTTCTCAGGCAGATGGGTTCTTTCGTAACAAGTCATCCCAGATGAGGTCATGGGGACAGTCCAATACTTTATAGGATGATAAGACCGGGTTTCCCAGCTTTGTGGCGCTTTTAACTACCCCAAAACATCTATAACTGGACCTAACCTCAACCCGCCTACATCCCACGAGAGAGTGCAGCCTAGGTCCTAACGACTGCATGCAGCCTAGGTCCCACGACTGCATGCAGCCTATCTACCACCCCTTGAAATATTGGACTGTCTGCTTGAGATGAATAAAAATGAAACCATTGGCAGAGGTACTCTGACTTCAAAGGAAGCCCCCAATGGCTTGATTTCTTGCCGGGCAGCCAAGGGGTCTATTTTTGTCTTTTCTACAATGGCATCCTGGAAACCACAGGGGAAAGTATTATTCACATGTGCCAGTAAACATGTAATGAATACTTGTACATCTTGTGTTTAGTGAGGGGCTCTGCAGAACTCTGGCAACATATTTGTGTCCTGCAAGGGTTGTACATTTCGCCCCTGTGGAAGCAATATACCCATGAGTTTTAGTTTTGTCATTTGTAACTCCTTCGCACATTAGCTAGCACTGTGTGGAACTGAAAGAGTTAAAAGAGTGAGAGAAATTACAATAACCGTGCCATTGTCTTATGTTCTTCTTCTTCTTTGTCAACCGGATGCAAGCCCTGGTAGAAAGTCTTAGCTGTTGGTTCACTTGGACTTGGGCTGTGTGCCAGGACCTGAGTTTTGTGTGTGCACCAGTTTTACTGGCATTTTGTGGGCACCTCGTTGGGGAGGCAGTGGGTCCATTCTTGTTTTCCCCACAATGGGACCCCGGAACCCATGTAGGGACATTGTCTTATAACCAGCAAACAGTTGTTAAGGATTTCAAAAGTCTTAAGCATATGACATTACAGTGCAGATGAACACACTGATATCATAACGACAGTTTAAAGATGGCCACCTTAGATGAGCAGCATTCTGTATTTATCAATTTTGCTTGTAATCAGTGAAGACGTGAAACCTTTAGATATTTACTGGCAAATCATACACTATTATTTACTTAATACATAACAAAAACAATCAAGATGGTTTAATAATTGACAGGAAGCAAAATTTAACACCAGCCGTGTTTTATCAGGACCTGCAAGGGAAGCAAAGAACAGTTAATAACATATAATCAATCTACAAAGAAGAGTAAGTAACATTAAACCAATCTACAAAGAAGAGTACGTAGCATATAATCAATCTACAAAGAACAGTAGCATACAATCAATCTACAAAGAACAGTAACATATACTGAATCTACAAAGAAAAGTAAGAAACATAATCAATATACAATGTATCTCTTACAAGATGAGTAAAAAGGACTGGTATGAGACTGGCTATCTTATTTTTTTTTAAACAACCTTCAGCTGTAAGTTGCAATAAAAAAAAAATATGCTGTAATAAAATAGCAAGAGGTGGTTGATGGCATGTGCTCCAGTAAAAGATAACAGATTTTTTTTTAAAGAGCATCCTGTTTTGCTTTAAGAAAAAATGGCTCAAGAAGACTGGGGCCACACCATAAGCACCAAATGCCTTGCCGACTGCTGGGAAATCATGCATTTTACAAATCAGTTTGTATCATTTTGCGTATCATGAGAAAAGAGCATTGAAAACTGTCTCTACTTATCTTCTTTCTCTCTCTTTTTTTTAATTTTTCAAAACTTGACTCAATTAAGCTGTTTTTTAATGTGTCTAGAGAACAATCGCTGCCTTTTCCTGTTGTCTGTATTCATTGATGTCTGGTTTTTTCCAAGACATTTAAACTTATCATTTTGTCCATCTATATAATTGTCAGCATTGTTCGGCAGAACCTGATCTCTGAGGTCCTACATAAATTCTGGTATACACTAAAGGCCTAGGCCCTACAGGAATTCTGGTTTACACTAAAGGCCTAGGCCCCACAGGAATTCTGGTATACACTAAAGGCCCAGGCCCTACAGGAATTCTGGTATACACTAAAGGCCTAGGCCCTACAGGAATTCTGGTATACACGAAAGGCCCAGGCCCTACAGGAATTCTGGTATACACTAAAGGCCTAGGCCCTACAGGAATTCTGGTATACACTAAAGGCCCAGGCCCTACAGGAATTCTGGTATACACTAAAGGCCTAGGCCCTACAGGAATTCTGGTATACACTAAAGGCCTAGGCCCTACAGGAATACAGGTATACACTAAAGGCCCAGGCCCTACAGGAATTCTGGTATACACTAAAGGCCTAGGCCCTACATAAATTCTGGTATACACTAAAGGCCCAGGCCCTACAGGAATTCTGGTATACACTAAAGGCCTAGGCCCTACAGGAATTCTGGTATAAAGGTCCAGGCCCTACAGGAATTCTGGTATACACTAAAGGCCCAGGCCCTACAGGAATTCTGGTATAAAGGTCCAGGCCCTACAGGAATTCTGGTATACGCTAAAGGCCCAGGCCCTACATAAATTCTGGTATACACTAAAGGCCTAGGCCCTACATAAATTCTGGTATACACTAAAGGCCCAGGCCCTACATAAATTCTGGTATAAACTAAAGGCCCAGGCCCTACATAAATTCTGGTATACACTAAAGGCCCAGGCCCTACAGGAATTCTGGTATACACTAAAGGCCCAGGCCCTACATAAATTCTGGTATACACTAAAGGCCTAGGCCCTACATAAATTCTGGTATACACTAAAGGCCCAGGTCCTACATAAATTCTGGTATACACTAAAGGCCCAGGCCCTACAGGAATTCTGGTATACACTAAAGGCCCAGGCCCTACATGAATACTGGTATACACTAAAGGCCCAGGCCCTACAGGAATTCTGGTATACACTAAAGGCCCAGGCCCTACATGAATACTGGTATACACTAAAGGCCTAGGCCCTACAGGAATTCTGGTATACACTAAAGGCCCAGGCCCTACAGGAATTCTGGTATACACTAAAGGCCCAGGCCCTACAAGAATTATGGTATACACTAAAGGCCCAGGCCCTACAGGAATTCTGGTATACACTAAAGGCCCAGGCCCTACAGTCATAAGCTGAGCCTTGCCCTGCCTTCATCTTCATATCAAGTTTACTTCAAACAGATTGTCTACAGCTGCAATACTGTCTACTGTTTGCACTGTTCTGTTATTTTTAGCTGACTCCAAGTTTTAGTGTGGGTTTTTTTTCCAGGCCAAATGGCTTGCCTTAATTTGTCATCTTCAGGGCAGTATATGCAAATCAAAGACTCTGGCTATCCTCCGAATAACGGCCATATATTATGACGGCCAAAAACAGGGCCTCAGTCACATGTAAATTGCGGACTTCCGGAGACTTAAATTGTGGACTTCCGGTGACTACCGCCACCGCCGAGAGTATTTCCCACGCTGCTACACGCGGCGTGGAGCGGGGCTAAACTAGATGCCTGGGACTCACGAGCAGCAGCTTCTGCATCTCCTGCAGCTTTGCTCGTGAGTCCCAGCCATCTAGTTTAGCATTGCTCCACGCCGCACGCAGGGAGATACTCTTGGCAGTGGCCGCCAGAAGTCCGCAATTTAAGTCGCCGGAAGTCCGCAATTTACATGTGACTGAGGCCCTGTTTTGGGCCACCATAATATGTGGCCGTTATTCTGAGGATAGCCAAGACTCTTTTTTATCACCTCCAATGAGAAGGATTTTTTAACTTGTTTACAAACTTCCTAGACTTCATAGCCATATATCAAAAGTGGTTCTATGTAACATGCAGTATTTCTTTTTTTCCTTACCTCAAATGACTGGGATGTACTGCACAAAATGTTCTTCATTTTATAAAATGTCGATTTTGCTCGTCTAAATCTGTTCCTTATCTCTGTGATATATCTTCCTTCTGTTGCTATCCATGTGCCTAGAAACTTGAACTTCTGAACCTGCCCCAAATTGATACCACTGGTTTTAACTGTACATTTAGGCATAGTTTATTTTTTTACATTACCATCATTGCTGTTATTGTTTTTTGGAAATATTAATAATATCACTGGTATTCTTTTGGGTTCGTTATATGATTTGTCATCTTGTAAAACATGTTTTTGGAAGCTGCTGATATAAACAAATATTATTTTTTAACAAATTATCTATATCATAAGCAGCAGCAGCAGTAAATTATTTCCACTGACCATCAAGAATCAAATGATTTGGTCATGTGGTCAGAACAGGTGACAACATCAGCCAGCAGTGTACTAGATGAGACCAGCAGGCTACATGTCAAAAAGTCAAACAAGAAAGAGATGGGTGGAAAGAGTTAAAGAGACACTACAGAAACTCAGTATGACATTAATATAAGCTATGCTACTAGCAAACAAAAGATAGAAAACTACATTTAACTGGTAATCTTAGTTTCAGCTTCATAGCAAACAGGTCACCCCATAGTTGCTCCGCTCCTGTGCCAACGAAAAACACACAAAATGTTTATTACAGTCCCTTGAGGAAAGACTGACAGACTGCTGTCTCAGCACATGCACTAGCATACACATGCATTAAAAGCATACACATGCATTAAAAGCATACAGTAGCCATCCAAAGTGCTAACACAAACAGTCCGACACTAGAAATGCAGATCATCATAGATGGTAGTAGAAGTCACCAACAGATCAGCAGTTACACACGCGATCTATTTTAATCACATAATAGCACCACCAATTTTGCGACAACAGGCATCCCACCATTTTTTGAATCCACAATTCACAACACCACGTTGTTCACAGTCGAAAAAAAATCCCAAATGAAATCCATAGTTCACAGTGTCACGCCATGCACTCAACTCAAAAGTTGGGCAACAAAACTATATCATTTCAGTCTACAAATGGAGCAAAAATACAACGGCCACCGTCTGGCAGAAGCAGAAAATTTGCCACGGTTCAAAACAGTGCCGTGCCTAGCGTCCATTTTGACCAGAAGTCTACATTTAACTACTCTGTCAGGCTTTATGGTAAGACAAAAGAAGAAGAATCAGCAGCATCGTTAAGTGGCATGCCGATATGCATAAGCAGCCATTTTGACCATTTCACATGATCACCAGAATCACAAACCAGGTCAGTGGTCTTGTTTTGTCCCATCCCTATGGCCCAGTCATCCAGGTAATTAGATCTTTTTTTCTTTCAATTGCTATTTTTTTCCCCATTCATCAATCTTGCCAGTTGTCACTGAGTTCCCATGTTCATTCCATCTAATAACTTAGAGAAAAAACCCACTGATGGCCCTTATATAATTTCTGAAATCAGTTTACAGCTTCCATCTGTTCTAGTTAGGACTGCCTCATTTGTTTTTTTCTATCATTCTTTAATATTCTTAATTATCAATAATCAAATGTTAAAAAAGGCAACAGCAGCTAGATAAAAATCTACGTCTAATTTCTACTGTGAAAATTAAAATGTAGTAAAAAGAACCTGCAGCTGACACAATGGGCTAACTAATCAGTAACTCTCTAAATCAAGCCTAACATGCACACACTACAGCACTACTTTTATCTACAGACTAAATACAGACACTACTTTTATCTACAGACTAAATACAGACACTACTTTTATTTATAGACTAAATACAGACACTACTTTTATCTATAGACTAAATACAGACACTACTTTTATCTATAGACTAAATACAGACACTACTTTTATCTATAGACTAAATACAGACACTACTTTTATCTATAGACTAAATACAGACACTACTTTTATCTACAGACTAAATACAGACACTACTTTTATCTACAGACTAAATACAGACACTACTTTTATTTATAGACTAAATACAGACACTACTTTTATCTATAGACTAAATACAGACACTACTTTTATCTATAGACTAAATACAGACACTACTTTTATCTACAGACTAAATACAGACACTACTTTTATCTACAGACTAAATACAGACACTACTTTTATCTACAGACTAAATACATAAACTACTTTTATCTACAGACTAAATACAGAGACTACTTTTATCTACAGACTAAATACAGAGACTACTTTTATCTACAGACTAAATACATAAACTACTTTTATCTACAGACTAAATACAGACACTACTTTTATCTACAGACTAAATACATAAACTACTTTTATCTACAGACTAAATACAGAGACTAATTTTATCTACAGACTAAATACAGACACTACTTTTATCTACAGACTAAATACAGTCACTACTTTTATCTACAGACTAAATACAGAGACTACTTTTATCTACAAACTAAATACATAAACTACTTTTATCTACAGACTAAATACAGACACTAATTTTATCTACAGACTAAATACAGACACTACTTTTATCTACAGACTAAAACAGAGACTAACTTACTTTTATCTACCAGACTAAATACAGAACTACTTTTATCTACAGACTAAATACAGACACTACTTTTATCTACACGACTAAATACAGAGACACTACTTTTATCTACACAGACTAAATACAGTCACTACTTTTATCTACAGACTAAATACAGAGGACTAATTTTATCTACAAAACTAAATACATAAAACTACTTTTATCTACAGACTAAATACAGACTAAATTACTAACTACTTTATCTACAGACTAAATACAGACACTACTTTTATCTACAGACTAAATACAGTCACTACTTTTATCTACAGACTAAATACAGAGACTACTTTTATCTACAAACTAAATACATAAACTACTTTTATCTACAGACTAAATACAGACTCTACTTTTATCTACAGACTAAATACAGACACTACTTTTATCTACAGACTATATACAGAGACTACTTTTATCTACAGACTAAATACAGAAACTACTTTTATCTACAGACTAAATACAGAACCTCATTTTATCTACAGACTAAATACAGACACTACTTTTTTCTACAGATTAAATGCAGACACTAATTTTATCTACATACTAAATACAGACACTACTTTTATCTACAGACTAAATACAGAGACTACTTTTATCTACAGACTAAATACAGACACTACTTTTATCTACAGACTAAATACAGACACTACTTTTATCTACAGACTAAATACAGACACTTCTTTTATTTATAGACTAAATACAGACACTACTTTTATCTACAGACTAAATACAGAGACTGCTTTTATCTAGACTAAATACATACACTAATTTTATCTACAGACTAAATACAGTCACTACTTTTATCTACAGACTATATACAGAGACTACTTTCATCTACAGACTAAATAATACAGAAACTACTTTTATCTACAGACTAAATACAGAAACCACTTTTATCTACAGACTAAATACAGACACTACTTTTATCTACAGACTAAATACAGACACTACTTTTATCTACAGACTAAATACAGTCACTCCTCAACAGCCAGCAAAGAGTCTCCAATCTGACAGTATTCATTGTCATCTGGTTAAATACTCCTCTTGCTTTTGCCTTGAGTCTTGAGTGGCGCCCGCAGCCCGATGACACTTCCGCATAATTATTCTCTCCAGATTTTCAATATCTTCCATTTTACTTGTTATCTCCTCCCAAATATTCACAAATTCATTCTAGGCAACAATATATGAGGGAAGTATAGTTACTTCCTTTCACTCCCAAACATCATCTACATAATTTTATTTGGTAGCCATTTCTATAAGACTGTGTTTTCATTTAAGTAAAAAGGACAGTAGATTTATCCAGACAGGCAATAACTGTAAGGACAGACATTACTTTAACTAAAGACAGACACTATCTATATTTAATAAAAATAAGATACTACATTTATTTAAAGACAACACTACTTGTATCTAAATTCCTACACTACTTTAACCTAAAGGTAAACAAAACTATCTAATAAAGACAGACTTTACTTTTATCTACAGATAGACACTACTTCTATGTAATAAAAACTAACACAATACACTGTTTAAGTGATAAAACACAGCAAATGTATACATGAATATTAACAAGATTTTCAACAGTTGTAACCATCATTAAAATAGCAATGCTTAACATAACCCAAACTAACAAAAACAAAAGATTCACTGCTGCTATGCAACAACAACAATCATGTAAAAACTAAAAATGTGGAACAGAGGAACAATTATGTAAAACTCAATTCAATTCAAAGTAATTATTCTTTGAGTAAGTTACTGTTCCTAGACAAAACGTGCATGGCTAATGATGGACAAACTTCAACTTAGAGACAACTAAAACTTGGTTATGGGCAACAGGCATCATTCTACCTTCTCTGGCTTCTTTTCTTTATTAACCCCGAGACTTCCTTCCCCTGATGGATTCTTCATGTGTGAATTTGAGCTAGCCACTCCCTTCAGTAGAGGAAAAATAAAAATGCAAGGTCATGGGCAGGGTTGCAACAATAAAGCACATTGTTGCTACTTCAATTCTCAGATGCGGTTGTATTTTAAAATTCCTAGTTAACAAAGATATTAATACAGAAAGATTGACAAGGGTAAGCTTTTATTTAGGTAAAAAAAAAGGTAATAACAAGTAAGTAATTAAAGTCGAACTGAGGACATTAAGAAGTGGATATTTCAAAGAATAGGTTGTCTTTCATGGAAATAATCAATTATAAATGCTCCTGGCAAGACTAGGAATGAAAAAAGTTGTTGAAAGAAGGTGGAAATGCAGAAAAATAAGTTGTATTTCATGCAAACAAATCAATCAAACATAATCGTTCTGACAAGATCAGGATGAAAACAGAGTTATCTGAAAAAATACCCCCCCAAAAAGGAGACAAGTTACTACATTTAAAGACATCCTCCTCTGCCTTTTTATCCCCCAATGGAGCACAGGCCCTCAACTAACTCACGTCAAGTCGTATCTTTCCTATTGCATCAAGCTCTCCCCATGTCCTCCCCATCTTTCTAACTTCATTCTCCAGCTCTCTTCTCCATGTGTTTTTTGGCCTTCCTTTATTCCTATGCCCCTGTGGGTTCCAATACAAAGACATTCTAGTTATGCTGTTCTCTTGTTTTCTCAGTGTGTGTCCTATCCAACGCCAGCATCTTTTCCTCACCTCTTGGTCCACTGGAGCCTGTTTAGATCTCTCCCAAAGTTCTAGATTAGTTATTATTAAAAGACATAAGAATCTTGAATTCTTTTGGTCTAAAGCAGTTGTTACTTTAATTAAACCTTTCTATTGCAAGGAACTGAGCTTAAAAACAACAAATATTTAGGTTTGAATGAGTTCAACAAAGATTAAGTGAGACAGAAGTAGGTAAACTAATAATTCAAATGTAAAAGGTTAACGTAACATCTGTCCAGGTGCGAAGATAACAAGATTATTTAAGTAAAGTAAAGGACCCTTTCCACACCTTCAGGTGTATTGGGCACATAGGGCTGGACCTATATTTTATTGACTAATTGGCACTTGGTGGCTAAGATCATCATAAGACCTTTCAAATTACACAGAAATGTTTTGTGAAATGTTTGGTACTTATTGTGAAATGTTTGGTACTTAAAGAGTTTAAAGCCACAGAGGAGAGGAAAATGCAACGCAGACAAGTCAAAGGTTGAAAGTAAAGGTAAACGGCCTTTTTGCCCTACATTAAGATGTACTAGGCATATCTGGCCAGCCTATATTTTACAAACCAATTGGTATTTGTTGGGCAATGTGGTCAGCATCAGATCAGCCACCTTTACTTCCTAAGATGTGACCTGGTACCCATTTCAGGCTAGGTCAACCTGGGAGCCAAAGGTCATTTTTGAAAAAAAAGGTCAGTCTCCGTTCAGATTTGAACACACGACCTTACAATCCGCACATGAGCATCGAGGTACTACACCACAGCGGCTCCGTAAAAGTTAACAGTGACACAACTTAAAGGATAACATAAAGAAATAGATGAACATCCATCCGAGAGTGTTGCTTTATGAGATGCTGAACACTTATTTTTAAAGATGTTCACGCACTGAGGGATGCTAGAAGCATGGGGGGGGGGGGGGGGGGGGAGGGGGTAATTTAAGTGCACTATTTAAAAATAACAATAGGCATAATAATGTGCTGACTGGAAAAGAAATATAATAATATATTTAAAATAATATCTGAAATGTATACATGAATTCTTGAAATAAGAAATTCTATAAACTGCAGTTTTTAAAAGGGGTTCAAAAGGTTTATGGCACATATGTATACATATGTGTGTGTGTGAAAGGGAGCGGGGGGAGGGAGTGTGCACATGTGTGAGTGCAGGCAAGCATGTGTCTATGTGCATGAATGTAAACATATACTTACTAATTTTGAAAGAAGAATAAAGCTATTAAGCCGATGCAGACACACAGGGCACAAGCAATACATAGGAACAGTAATAAGCACAAATAAAAAGGTATTTATAATATAAAATAACAGAAGATTTTGATAGTTTCAGGAAACTGCAGCCTCCTAACGAATTGAGCAGAAATGGGCATATTCTAAAACAAAATGGAAGATCTGACTAAATATGACTAACACAAGAAACATCAGAAACAGAGCGATGATTCATTTAAAAATGATTTCTATCCTGCCTGTTTGAAAGTCATGGGTTTGAATCTATATAAATGTAGATTCATATAGCAACCTGCATTCCTGGCAGACTGGCCTAAAATGAGACCAGAAAATGTCCTGGAAGGCAAAGGTGATCAGGATAATGTTGACCAAAATCTGTTGTAATTACACTGATGATGAACAGCATTTCTAGTGTTAGACTGTTTGTGTTGGCACTTCTGACAACTGCCTTATGCATTTAATGTGTGCACATGCTACTGGATTTAGTGAGACTGCAGTCAGTGCCAATTTTTTCATAATTGATAATGGTGGACATTCTGTGTGGCTTTCACTGAAATGATAGGATTGTGATTACCTTACTCAAGCGCAGAGTCAGCTGTACACACATGTCATAATTGTAACTGACCCACAGAGTATGCTGAGAAAGATGGAGACAGGCCAGCTCCGTGCAGAGTGGCAAGCATAACTTCAGAGGTCCTAGGTAGTTAGCGTTCTTTGGATATTTTACCCAGGTCAGGCTAGCCAGGTGGGAAACGAGCAGGCAGATTTGTTGGTGAATTGATGTATGACAAGCTAGATATTGTGAGTGCCCATTTGGAGCAAGTAAACAATGTGAAGGCACAAATTGATCATTACGATCTGAGGAGAATGGCGCTGCGGGGATTTACCAGGGTATCTGGCTGACGCTCTACACTCAAGGGTAAGGCGAGACAGATTTACAATCAGACAGTTACTAGTAAAATCAGAATTGGAACCCTTCAGTTGCTGCCGAAGAAAGGAATGGAGTGCTCATGAGGGCGCCTTGAGTGCTGTTATGTCAATTCTTAATTCAACAATCAAGTGCACAGTAGTTTACAAAAAATACTGGACCAGTCTAAGTAAAAGCAAAAGAGCCTTTCCACATCACTGGTGCACTAGGCATACGGGGCCAAATCCATATTTTTGTAGATCAATCGGCACTTGATGTGTGAGATGCTTAACATAATGCTAGCTGCCTTTTCCTCCCTGGACACCCTGGCACACATTTTAGACTGCTTCGACCTGTAGACCAAAGTCGTTCTATAAAAATTATACCCTTTGCAGATTCTAAATCTAGACCTTTGGGCAGGCAGACATCTTGCCATCACACTACCATAGCTCCCAGCACCATATGCCCGATGCAATAATGGCAGGAGAGGGTCCTTTACTTAGTTTTAATCTAATGCATTCCTTTCAGCTGTTTAAACATTTTGTAAACTGCGGCATAGAAGATGACCTATTGTAAAAGTCCACCTCAATATTTTTGTAGCTAACATTCTAAGCTGGGCCTCTACCTACCATTTTCAGGCTCATCATCATCATCATCATGTAGCAAGTCCTTTGCAGAATGTCGCTCTCATCATGGTCTGCCTGAAAGAAACTCGGCCTCTCGCCAGCTCTCCTGTCTCATGCACTTTCATACTCAAGGAGTCACGTAGATCTGTGCCCAAGTCAAGTGGTCTCCATCCCGCCCTCCTTCCTGGTACCATGCCTTCTGCTATAATTTTTTCCAATCCGTTGTGGCATTTAATATGACCAAAATACTTTAGCTTCTGAGACAGGATGCTGTATTAGCCCATCTTCCTTGATGTTCAGATCTTTCAAGATGTCAGTATTTCTCTGCTATTTATTATAGAGCCTAGATATTCAAATTTTGTGACATTTTTAATTTCTTCACCATTTATTGTTATTTTTTTTTTGGTGACAGCCAGTTTTATCTGTGGACATAATTTTCGTTTATTTACAAGCTGACCTCCCAAAATATAGGTAGCAATGAGAGGCCTACAGGTAAATGAAGTTATACTACAGTATACGATAACCAGTGCCAATGTAACAGAGTGAGCTCATAGCTTGTTTGTTAGGAGGCATAAAGCTAGAATATTAGGAGATCAACAAGTTTTGGCAGCCTTGACATTCCCTTTTCCAGAATCTTCTTTTCCCGACAAAAACAGCTTGTTGACAATTCAAACTGAGGTTCGTCTGGGCCTTAGCCCCCCCCTTCTTTCTAGAAGTTTTGAAATGCGTTTTTCATCATGTGACCCAACCTTGTCTCACTAGTAAATACCTTGTTGTCGTGCCCTATCAAAGCAAACACAACTGTCCTTGTTTTTTAGAAACTTCTATGACCTCAATTGTCAGTTTAACTACGATATCTGCGTAGAATAGGATGATGAAATCTGATGCAATCGGGATATAATTAGCAAATCCCATGTGAGAACGTACATAGTAAACAAGTTTAGACGTACTAGAATATTCTAGAAGCAGACAAAGCGAGAAGAAAACAAATACCTAGCATTCCAGCATCCAAGTATAAATAGCGAGTAACAAAGCAATTCTTCAGTCCACAAGACTCAAGAGAGGAGAGGCCAGTCACATGGCTCTCAAGACAGCCTTCAGTGGTAGAGATGTAAGCCCAACACTAGAAGCCTTCAATCGCTGAGACTCAGAGGAAGAACGACTAGTCTCAATGATCTGCGATGCCAGCTCAACACTGGAAGCAGAGGAACAAGTCACATATTGAACCTGGAAGACAATCACTGGAGAGCAGACATGAAACGAGACATCGAGCTACAGAGACGACACACCAGATACATGGATCCATGGTTAACAGAGACATATTTGGAACACTATCGAGTCAACGATCAAGACGTTAGTACCAAACCGCACTAGAAGCCAGGTGGCAGTTACAGACACTAGAACCAGTTAACAAAGTAACTAGAGATGAAGAACACAACGTGAACCTACGAGTATTTAGCCATAGAGATAATACAGCGCCATTCATGGTATCATTGATGTATTTGTGACATTGTTGTAGTATCGCAATAAAGACAGTGTAGACGAGAACTGTTGTTTCCAGCCATTTTATTTTACAAACATCAGAGTCACATGAGAAGCATGCAGCAAGACATCATCATCACAACCACTATCGACACCACCATCTATAATCTTCCAATCGACTCCTCCTGTAGCAAACCTAAAGACGAACCTGGGTGTGACATCGACATACGCAAAGAAGAAGAGAGCTGTGCTACACCAAAACTAGACAAGGTTGTCACATGGACACTAAGACAGTAAACAATATTGAATACTGAATTTCCCCATGTGGGTTCTGGGGTTAGGGCCGACCGACACGAAGATGGGCACAGGATATCAGTGACTCCTTGAGCGTGAAAATGCATGAGGCGAGAGAACTGGCAAGAGACCGAGTTTCTTTCAGGCAGACTGTGATGAGAGCGACATTCTGCAAAGGACCTGCTACATGATGAGGATGATGATGATGGGTTCTGGGGCCCCACTGTGGGGACAAAAACAAAAATATATCCAATGCTAGGTTAACGTCCTAAAGGTCGCATAATTAGCAGTTTCCATCAAAGTCGGAGAACATCTGACTGAGTGGAAAGGAACCAATAGTCTGCATACAAATAAGTCTGATCTGTAAAACAGATGTGCATGAAAAATTCATGTTTTGGAACAAGACTGAAGTCCAGAAGTAATCGAACAATGAGAACTTTCTGAACAGAGTTTACAGTTGGTAAACATAATTAACTCGCATACCAGCTTGCCCCAATTTTAAAACACCCTGCTGTCCCAGCTGAGATAAAAAGACAAATTATAAATACAATCTTTATACCGACATTAGGTTATCAATGTCAGACTTGGACATTAACAAAAGAACACGAGAGAAGACTAACCACCTGTGAAATGAGATGTTTGTGAATGGCTGTGAATAAAACCAGAAGAGATAGAGTGAGAAACGATGTGATTACAAGAACTATTGGAACCATACCCATCGTTAAATTTATTGAGAAGCAAAGAATGAAATGGTTTGGTCACCTAGTGAGAATGGAACCAACGATGCCAGCATCAAGAGCATACAACATGAAAATCGAAACACCAAGAGGCAGGGGAAGACCGAGAAGAAGATGGATTGAAGGAGTCACGGACAACTTGAGACTTCATAACATCACGGCATATGAAGCGACTGAGCGCGCCCTGGCTCGGTTGCCAATCATCTGATAGATTGCGACGCCTAGCGGCACAAGCAGATTTTGACAAAAGAAGAAGAAACATAATTATGAGTAGTATATTCTATGTGTCATCGATTTATTATTTATTACTAGCTTTTGTGATAATTTGCCTGATATGTCAACCAAACACAGGTTTGCAGTGGTATTTATTTGTGCCGCCTCTTGGAGGTACGGTAAGGGGTCTTCAGTGATAATATGTTTTGTATGTTCAGGGGTGCCTGGTTCGATCCCAGCTGGGGATGGTTTGGGTTGTGCTGGTTTCGACAACTGTATTGAGAGCTGACCGTTCAGAGGCAATGGCAAAATACTGAAGGTAAAGTCTGCCTAGAAAACCACAACAGTCAACAAAAAAATTGCTGGTGTTGGTTCTGCAACGTCCTGTAAAGGATACACAACTAACTTATTTTCAACAAATACAAGTTTTAGTGGAATACATTTGTGGTGGCCAGCTAGAGGGTGGTAAGTGGTCTACAGTGATAATTAGGAGTGCTGTCCCACTTGCGAATAAAACCATGTAAGAAAGGTTTGCATTGTTATACCAGCCATATAAGTGAACCCTTTGTTTAGAGAAATATTTTTTCAGTTGAAAAACTCAACTTATTCGCCACAATTTACAGCAACTATGACTGTTCAATCAAATTAACTCCCCGTGTGGGTTCCTGGGCCTTGTTATAGAAAAAACAAGAATAGACCCACTGCGTACCCAAAAGCACGCCGTAAGATTCAACTAATTGGGAGCTTTCTTCAAAGTCGAAGTGCATCTGCCTGAGAGGCAAGGAACCAACAGTCTACATACAAATTAGATCTGTTAAACCAATGCACATGCAACACTCAAGTTCTGGAACAGGACTGCAGTCCAGAAGTGGACGAACAACCACAACTTTCCACCTGAGTTTACAGCTGGTGAGCGTGAAGAAGAAGAATCAAATTAACAACAATAAATAAAAACAGTTTATCCCCATTAGAAGCAAAAAGTAAAAGCAATTCTACAGCACAATGAAGCAGAAGAGTGCAAGATTTCTTTAATGCCAGGTTGCAACTTTGCCTCCACACCGTGTCAGTCTTGCGCTCTTTGTCTTCCTTAATACTTCCCCCCTGGAAAATCTCGGCAAAGGGACCAGAGAATCCACAAATTCCATGAGAAGAAATCTTTAAAAAAAAAAACATTTTACACGTTTCGCTAAAAAAGTATGTTTTTAATTTATTTATACCTATTTGGGAAAATGGTCTAAAAATGTAATAAAAGGTCCCTTTTCCACGCCTTTAGGCATATTGGGAAAAAATGGCTAGACCTTTATTTTTATAGACCGATCGGCACCTGGCGGGTGATGTGGTCAGCATTACAAAAAACAGATATGAGGGGGAATAATTAACAAGCAAAAATGGTGCACAGAATCTAAATAAAAATTGGCACTTTAAAAAAAAAATGTTGCAGTGACTCATGCAGTGACTTTATCATTGTGCGCCTGCTAAAGGTCATTTATGGCATTATAATTACTTTTCTTTTTGTTGGTTTTGTTTTTAAAGCTATTTTTCCCCCCACAAAGTTATTTTTTTAAGTAAATATATCATATTTGTCGGCTCTGTGGCTAAGTCGATGCGAATGCTTCGTAATGCCGGGTGCCAGATTCGATCCCAGCTGCGGGCCATGCGCCTTGCGTTGGTTTCGACAGTGGTATCAGGGGGCGGACCATCCAGAAAGCAATGGCAAACTACTGGACGTAAATTTGCCTAGAGAAACCACACAACAGCCAGGGGCTGCTGGGGTTGGTTCTGCAACGTCATGTAAAGGATATGCAACTAACCTATATCATATTTGACCCTTCTAAAATATGTGCAAGTGCAAACAATACTAAAGCTAATTAATAAGCTTGTCGGGACTGGCCAGTGCAGCAAAGCTAGTTAACTGGCTTCCCAGGGATTTGAAAAGGAAGGCAAAGCCAGATTTTTAGAAGAAATTACAAATATGTGCATCACTGATATTCGTGGCTTTTAATTTCAATGCTGATGATCAAGGCTAAAACATGTCAATCCAGGCAGCGGTAAAATTAAAAACAAAAACAACACAGACTTGTAAATTAAATGAAAACTACAGCATCATATAGTAGCCAAGCATAGTGAAGCACATCTATGATGTCTTCAAAGCTGAGACAGGAGACTTTATAACCAGCTCCTCCTTGGTACAATCAGTAGAAGTACCTTGGAGTGGATGTTGCATCGGAGGACTGAGCACGCAGGGAATGCCCAATGTGCAGTGATGTCGACTGTGATAACATGACATTAAAGACAAGAAAACATTCAGCAACAATTCAACCACAGGAAATGCTCACCCTTTCCCGATCCTCGTGGAACTTGTCCGCCATGATGTGTTTATGTACTGAAGCCCTATGGAGGTCTCCTTCTATTGGGTTGCCAGTCATCGCGCGATGCACGAGGTGGGCCTCCGAAAAATCTGGATGCTTTGTATTGATGTATGCCAGTTCAATCTGAACCAGGTTCTCCACCTAATGAGAAAGTGTTGACACGTCTTGAATATAACACAACAGGGGACACTGACACAACAGGGGACACTGACACAACAGGGGACACTGACCCAACAGGGGACACTGACCCAACAGGGGAGACTGACCCAACAGGGGATACTGACACAACAGGGTACACTGACACAACAGGGGACACTGACACAACAGGGGACACTGACCCAACAGGGGACACTGACCCAACAGGGTACACTGACACAACAGGGGACACTGACACTTAGCAGTCATGACTCAGGTGGCCTTGCCACTAAATAATACGAAAAAAAACGAAAAAATTGGTCAGAAACATTCATAAAAAGGTGTCCTTTCCAACACAGGACTGCAGGTTACATCTGGCTGGTGTAGCCAATCCAGGCGCCCTAATTATAACTTGTCATATTTCACAACCTGTGGTATTCTTAACAGATGCAAAAGTGGTACTTAAGGCACTCCAATCTAGAAAATTACCTGGTATACGAACACTACTCTCCAAACTAGGCAAAGTGTAAGGTAACTATGCAGTGAATGCCTTCCCACTGTGGAGTTCATGGAAATGAAAGAGCTGATAAACTATCTAAGGAAGCTGCAAATGAAGAACAACCTGACGTACCAGTTTCTCATCAACAAAAGAAGAGAATAATCAAATCAGCCAGAAAGCCACCAAAACTGGCACAAGACCAGAGCAAGTTATTATCCTACGCCTAGAACAGGACATAATTGACTTCACAGCCACATGTACACAAAATTTTAAATCGTGAATCAGCCATGTGCAAATGTGGATTGGCACCTGAGACAACAGATCACGTCCTCCAAGACTGTCCCAAATACAACATATCAAGGCAAAACTTTTGGCCAAGAGAAACATTGATGCAAGTCAAACTTTACAGGTCGCTGAGTGAATTACAACAGACAATGAAGTTCAAACTAGAGACAACATTGCAGATTTAGGTCTATTTCAAGTGAAGGAAAGAAGAAGAAAACTTCTGTGGAGGCTGAACAGGAGGGTATCAGGGATCTGCCTTGTTGGTCTGCCATCCAGAGTGAGATTTTTTAATCTCAGGATGGTATGGTTAACCTTTAGGTAGCAGCCCAGAGATGACAGTTGTCTTTAAGGGATGTGAGAATGACACGCTGTGGGAATGACACACTGTGAGAATGAGACGCCGTGAGAATGACATGATGTATGAATGACACCATCTGAGAATGACATGGTGTGTAAATGACACGATGTGTAAACGACACAATGTGTGAATGACACGATCTAAGAATGACATGATCTGAGAATGACACGATCTGAGAATGACACAATCTGAGAATAATACAATATCAGAATGACATGATGTGAAAATGACACAATGTGAGAAATGACAGGATGTGTGAAAGGATACAGGTATGTACCCGCCAGTCTCAACCCCTTAAAAACAGTCTATTCCACTGTGTTATTCCCCCTACACCATACGCACACACACATACTCATAGGTCTCAACAGAATCAATATAAGTAAACATTTTCTACAAATTAAGACCAAAGTTTTTAGGCAAAAACTCTTACATTACCGAGATGTCTAGAAATATTACTAATAGTGGTGCTTTCTTAATAGGGGAAATCCACAGGTCACAGGACAGTCTAATATTTCAGGGGGTGGTAGATAGGTTGCATGCAGTGGTAGGACCTAGGCTGCACTCTCTCGTGGGACGTAGGTAGATTAGGGTTAGGCCAGTTATAAATGTTCTAGGGTCATTAAAAGCATCAGAAAGCTGGGAATTCCAGTCTTACCACCCTCTAAAATGTTGGACTGTCCTGTAACGTCATCTGGGGTAGGATATTACAAAATAACCCTAATATTTTTCTTTTAAAATTATTATTTTAATGGGAAGATATTACCAACACATAATTTAATTTATGTGAATTGGTTTCTATCAAAGACATTGAAAAGAAAGTAAATTTAACAAAAAAAACAAAGATAAATAAATCACAATTATTTTTTTTAACATTATTTAAACAGCAAGAAGATATAAATACCATTGAATTTGTTGGAGGTAGCCGCAGCCGTAATAAATTTGTAACAACATCGACAATACGTTCGTGAAGTCTGGGGAAGCGTAACATCTCCTGCTGCAAAATATAATGAGTTAATCTGAAATCAAGAGAACTAAAAAAACAAAACTAAATGAATACAGAGCAGCTAATCGAACAGCCCCCCCTCCAACACCCCATGTGGGTTTCAGGGAAAACAAGAATACAACCACTGCCCCTTAAAGCATGTCACAGGAGCTGACTAATTGGGGGACTCCTTTAAGTCGGAGCATATCTGCTGCCTGAGAGGCAAGGAACCAAAGTCTGCTCACAAATAAGCCAGATCTGTGAAACAAAATGTGAAAGCAACATTCAAGTTCTGGAACAAGACTACAGTCCAGAGGTGAACGAACACCCAGAACATTCTGGTGAAGTTTACAACCTGTGAACAAGATGAAGAAGAAGAAGCACATGTCCTGGGAAGTAAAGGTGGCTGGCATGGTGTTACCCACATTACCTAACTGCTCTTTAAAAAAAAATAGATGGGTTTAGCACCATAAGCCCACATCCTTACCTGAACTGGACTGCAGGTTACACCAGGCTGGTGTGGCTATTATGTGTGCTCTATTTGTAACTTTCTTGGAGATTAAACAGGAAAACTGGGTTTGTCCTGTTGGTCTGCTACCAACACTGAGACTTGTTTTTAGTCTCATGGTGTCAAACCTTCAGGCTGTGTTGGTTTGCAATCCAGATCTCCTGATCTATGGGTGTCAAACTTTTCAGGTAGCAACTTGGAGGAGATAAACAGTACTCACACATGCATCAGAAGCCTAATAAGTGTGATAAACAGTACTCACACATGCATCAGAAGCCTAATAAGTGTAATACATGGTACTTACACGCGCATCATAAGCCTAATAAGAGTGATAAACGGTACTTACACACGCATCATAAGCCTAATAAGTGGCATAAACAGCACTCACAAACACATTATAAGCCTAATGAGTGGGATAAACAGCACTCACACACACATTATAAGCCTAATGAGTGGGATAAACAGCACTCACACACACATTATAAGCCTAATGAGTGGGATAAACAGCACTCACACACCCAACATAAGCCCAATGAGTGGGATAAACAGCACTCACACACCCAACATAAGCCCAATGAGTGGGATAAACAGCACTCACACACCCAACATAAGCCCAATGAGTGGGATAAACAGCACTCACACACCCAACATAAGCCCAATGAGTGGGATAAACAGCACTCACACACCCAACATAAGCCCAATGAGTGGGATAAACAGCACTCACACACCCAACATAAGCCCAATGAGTGGGATAAACAGCACTCACACACCCAACATAAGCCCAATGAGTGGGATATAAAACAGCACTCACACACCCAACATAAGCCCAATGAGTGGGATAAACAGCACTCACACACCTAACATAAGCCCAATGAGTGGGATAAACAGCACTCACACACCTAACATAAGCCCAATGAGTGGGATAAACAGCACTCACACACCTAACATAAGCCCAATGAGTCAACTGCTTTAAAAAGATCCTAGCTGTTTTTTTTAATAAGCAGTTTTACCTAATAGTATAAACACTAATGCTTAACCAGATTTACATAACTGTGTAAACAACCAATGCTGGGGGGGGGGGGGGGGAACAGATTTACATAATGGTGTACACAGCTGTGAGTTGCATAAATCAGATTTACATAATGATGTTTACAGCTGTGAGTTGCATAAATCAGATTTACATAATGATGTTCACAGCTGTGAGTTGCATAAATCAAATTTACATAATGATGTACACAGCTGTGAGTTGCATAAATCAGATTTACATAATGATGTACACAGCTGTGAGTTGCATAAATCAGATTTACATAATGATGTACACAGCTGTGAGTTGCATAAATCAGATTTACATAATGGTGTACACAGCTGTGAGTTGCAGAAATCAGATTTACATAATGATGTACACAGCTGTGAGTTGCATAAATCAAATTTACATAATTATGTACACAGCTGTGAGTTGCATAAATCAGATTTACATAATGGTGTACACCGCTGTGAATTGCATAATCAGATTTACATAATGATGTACACAGCTGTGAGTTGCATAAATCAGATTTACATAATGGTGTACACAGCTGTGAGTTGCAGAAATCAGATTTACATAATGGTGTGCACAGCTGTGAGTTGCAGAAATCAGATTTACATAATGGTGTATACAGCTGTGGGTTGCATAAATCAGATTTACATAATGGTGTATACAGCTGTGGGTTGCATAAATCAGATTTACACAATGGTGTATGCAGCTGTGAGTTTCATAAATCAGATTTACATAATGGTGTACACAGCTGTGAGTTGCATAAATCAAGGTTTACATAATGGTGTACACAGCTGTGAGTTGCATAAATCAGATTTACATGATGATGTACACAGCTGTGAGTTGCATAAATCAGATTTACATAATGGTGTATGCAGCTGTGGGTTGCATAAATCAGATTTACACAATGGTGTACACAGCTGTGGGTTGCATAAATCAGATTTACATAATGGTGTACACAGCTGTGAGTTGCAGAAATCAGATTTACATAATGGTGTATACAGCTGTGGGTTGCATAAATCAGATTTACACAATGGTGTACACAGCTGTGGGTTGCATAAATTAGATTTACATAATGGTGTACACAATTTATGTTGAAATATAACCAAATATACATGGCAGTTACTGGATGTAAATTTGCCTAGAGAAACCACACAACAGCCAGGGGCTGCTGGGGTTGGTTCTGCAACATTCTGTAAAGGATACGCAACTAACCTTTACACGGCAGTATATATAACTTATACTGTAATATAATCAGATTTGTATGATAGGGTGTACAGCTAAAGCTGAAAAATTTGTGTTTCAAGACTTACATAATGGTGAACACAACTTATGCTAAAATATAATCAGATCTGCAAAATGAACAAATGTCCATTTGTCACATATCACTCCTGTCGCGTGCCTAATGTAAGGATTTCTCCTTCAGAACCAGCAGCACTCAGAGATAATTTTGTTGAGTCGTTTGGCTCGTATTGGTCTAAGGGATTCCCCGTGGCCAATATACGATCAACTTATCTCTGGAGTAGGGCAACTCAAGTATTGGCACTACAAAATATGTCAATATATATATATATATATTTCTAGGCACACTTGGCTGGACACCCCCACTACTTACTAAAGAAAGAGGCCCCCAGGTTATGATCAGTTTATTATCATAACCATGTTAACACATATAATGAAGATACACATACATTACACAACTGCTAAACACTTAAAAAGGTGAAATCGAGACACCCAAGTCAGCCATGAAAATGAATCGTATGTAACTTATGCTAAATTAGATATATTCAAAGTGACACAAATGCCTATCTCAGGATATTATGTCCAAATATAAGGAGAACTACACAGACAGAGGGTCTATGGAGATGACATCTTTTTCATAGTGGACAATCTAGGAGCAATGAGGAACACAACTCATGCGAAGCATTAGACTTATCTTCTCTTCTCTCTGTCTATGATGCCTCCCTCATGCTCGGATATATTTGACTGTCTTTGACTCTGGAATTCTATCCACTGGATCAAGTAGTAAGATATTCAGATTTACACAATGTACCGGTATTAAAGTCTTATCACCAGTAAGGAAACACAATCAGATTGGCCACATTAAGCTCTAGTACAACTTAGCTGTTGAGGCACCATCCCCAAATGGTCCCAGATTTATGTCAGGAACCTTTACAGGTGTTAATGGTGTATACAAGTTGGTTATGGTGAAATTGGTGGATGTTGGTGAGACAATGAATCTTCTGCAAGCTCTTCAGAAATATACATCCCAAGCATATGTAAAACACTGGTAGACATTTCAGATTGCCTTGAAAAGTGACCACTATACAGGCATGATTAAACTCTCCGACGCTTGAGACGCTGGCAAGGAGAATATCGTCGCTTAGACACTTCAGGCGGTTAGTACATCTAAAGAAGTTCCTCTGTAACTGGGGCAAGGAGTAAATCGGTTTCCAAGAAACCTCAAATAACTGCCTAGATATATTCAAGAGATTTACATTTAAAAGTCCCTAAATTTAGCTTAAAGTAACCAGATGTAGGCAGACATAATAATAGTTGTCCAATACAGGCTATATATATATAGATATAAGGGACTTATATTTTGGGGCGTTTTTCAAGACTTGAATTATGTGCAGAGACAGGTGTGGCAGGTTATCAGCCTTACAGACCGATGCGTAATGGCTATCATTTCACGACCATTGTTAGAAATTAGATGCAGACAAGATAACAATCAGACGCAGTTGAACCAATCAAAAATCTACCTGTGTCCCACAGTGCTGGATCATCCTCTGCATTTCTTCATGGACCAGCTCCACACATCTCAAACTGGGCTCCTCCAACCTCCGTATCTGCCTCTTCACCAGCAGCTCAAAGGATATTTCTGGTACAAACAGGGCAGGCCTAGGACCCTATCCCGTGGCAAGAACATCAATAAGATCAGAAATGAGAACATGCCATTCTACTTGTTTTGAATTTCGCAGTGGAGCATGCATCTTCAAACAACTCATGCTTGTTAATCCTTTCGCTCCTGAGAAGCACAAAACCCCGAGCTTCCAATTTTCTGCTACGGCCCCATAATTGTTCCTTTCCTGGCTTTCTGTACAGGATTGTTAATGAGAAGCCACGCTAACAGCGCTGCTTCCATTTTTTTGGGGTCTCTGGGCAACGTTTTAAAATATCCGGAACAAGCATAGTTGCTTGAAAAAAAAAAAGATTATGTCAAATTGGGAGTGGAAAATGGCGTTATTTACAGAAAGGAAACACCAGAATTTCCTGTTAGTTACAGTGGCAACTGGTGACCAAGTCAAGGAGTCATAACAGGTCATGCTAAACATGTTATTAAAGCTCAGAGAGATGAAACCCAGTCAATTTTCTGCCTTTTTGTTTCTGGTGGTCAATGTAAAATGGTTGGTGAGTAAACATTCCAGACAATATGCAACACTAAGGAAGAAACATTGGTGGACTTTTAATCACGTTGTAACTGACACTATTAGCATGTCAACTCTTCATTGGCAACTGAGGTAGGGGACAGAGCACCTGTGGGAATGACAGTGATGTCAATTCTTCATTCATTCATTGCAGCAAACACCTAATCAGTCACTTTGTACAACATGCTTAATTAGTTATTTGGGAATATGATCATTGTACTCCGGACATGCCCATATGTGCTCAGATCCTTCGCTCAGTATGAACCCCAGCGTCCTGTGACTAATAGTGCCAGTTCTTTTTTGACTGATAAGTCTTTTTGTATGCCCGGTGTGTCTCTCGATTTTGGCTAGGCTGATCTGAACTCCCTAGTCTTTCATTCTAGCTGAGTGATATGGATTAGCTGTCTCGAAAGTCCTCCACCCGTCCCACTTCTCTGAAGGCATTAATAATGGAGTACATGCACGTGGATTCAGCTTTCCCTCATTGTGCTATACAACATGCTTGTTAGGGACCAAAAGGTATATTCTTTTTTTCCTCCCCATCCATAAGTGTCGCTCCAATATCCCAATAAGGGAGTCTCATAAAGGGTGGGTGGCTGAGCAGTCGGGACAGCAGAGATCTAAGTTCTAATTCTATTTTGGTAAAGACTGCATACCTAACAAATATTAACACAATTTTTTAACTACATGTTAACAGTTCTGGACTGGGGAAAAAATAATTGTACGTCTAATTTGTCTCATCAGTTTACTCTTTACACTTAAACAGTTAATAGAAAATAACACTAAATACAATAAGAATTTTTTTGTGGCATTCGTAGACCAGGAGAAGGCATTTGACAGAGTCGACAGACAATTATTATGGAAAGTAATGGCAAGATATGGAGTAGCGAAACACCTCATCGAAGTGTGCAAAAAGTTTATACATGGGATTGTAGAAGTGTAGTTAGAAAAAAATCAGGGAACATCTCATCCATTCACAGTAACATCTTGGAGTAAGAGAGGGGTGTGTGTCTTATCACCACTGCTGTTTATTACCTACATCGACAGTATAATGCAAGAATGCCAAGGCCCATGAATGAAAATGTTAGTAAGATCAACAAATTACTCCCCCCCCTTTGCAGATGACCACGCCTTGATAGCAGATACAGCCATGAAATTGTAACAACATCTAACATCCATGAATGAAGAATGTACCAAAAAACAAATAATATGAGAATCAACACTGAAAAGACAGAAGTAATGTCAATAGGGAAAAAAGAAGACAGATCTAAAACATAGCAATAGAAGTGCAAAGGGCATTAAAACAGGCATCTGAGTTTAAATATCTAGGAACTACATTTACCGAAGATGGGCAAAAATTGGATAAAGAAATTAACATTAGATGCAGTTAAAAGAAAACTAAGTATTGGGACAGCTAGTCCCCCCCCTCTTACAGCAATAAGACAATCCAATCAGCACAAAGAGTCATCTTATTCAAAGCATATTTATTCCAACTCTGTGCTACCAGTGCCAGACAAGGTCACCTCACTCACAACAAACCATAAAAGAAAATTAGTCAAACCATGGAGATGAGAATATGTCTGAGAAGGGCTGTAGGAGTGACCATAAGAGATAAGATCAGGAATGAGATCATAAGAGAAAAAGTTGGCACAGAACCAATTCTAAATTACATACAAAGAGAGGGTGAAATGGTTTGCCCACTTAGAGAGAATGCCTTGTGACACCATACCATACAAAGCATACATGGAAAGAGAAGAAGGACGTAGAGCACGAGGTAGACCAAGAACAAGATGGAAGGATAACATCAGAGAAACTCTACAACAGCACGATGTGCCTATGGTCGAGGCGGCCAGAAGAGCTAGAAACAGAACCTTATATCCCCCTCGACACCCACAGCGGAAGAAGAGGAAGTGAAGAAGAAGTTTACTCTTTTTATGTGACCCTTGAAAGGTTGCCTCATAGATTATTCTGACTGACATAATACTCTTTCAATTTTGCTCAGAAACCATAAACCATATTTCAGCTGTCATTAGGCATTTCTCAGCTTGCCTGCTCATTGTAATGTGTTAGCGACTCTGGCTCAGGCATTAGAACGGCTTTCGTAAAGCGGGACTGCATTTTGTCAAACATCCCATACTGCATGCAGTTTGACAGCAGACTGTCCATGTTCCATATGCATTAAAAAAATATAGGCTATGCTTCATGCTGATATGTTTTTACATTATACACTACACAATTTCATTCGAGCAGGCAAACATGCAGTAGACTAACAGCAATGGCAAACTACCAAAAGTAAAACTGCCTGGTGAAATCACAACAGCAGCTTTACACTAATACCATGGACCTCAGCCGAGTGTACCTGGATACCAGAACATCCTACAGCAGCTTTACACTAATCTCACCATGGAACATCACTACGGTATACGTGTACCATCAGTGTACCTGGATACCAGAACATCCTACAGCAGATTTACACTAATACACCTAATACCAAGTGTACCTGGATACCAGAACATCCTCAGCAGCTTTACACTAAAAGTGGAATCTCTGGTATACCTAGATACCATCCTACAGCAGCTTTACACTAATACCATGGAACCTCAGTATACAAGTGTACCTGGATACCAGAACATCCTACAGCAGCTTTACACTAATACCATGGAATCTCAGTATACGAGTGTACCTGGATACCAGAACATCCTACAGCAGCTTTACACTAAAACCATGGAATCTCAGTATACGAGTGTACCTGGATACCAGAACATCCTACAGCAACTCTACTCTAATACTATGGAGCATCAGCATAAGAGTGTACCTGGATACCAGAACATCCTACAGCAGCTTTACACTAATACCATGGAACCTCAGTATACAAGTGTACCTGGATACAAGAACATCCTACAGCAGCTTTACTCTAATACTATGGAGCATCAGCATAAGAGTGTACCTGGATACCAGAACATCCTACAGCAGCTTTACACTAATACCATGGAACCTCAGCATAAGAGTGTACCTGGATACCAGAACATCCTACAGCAGCTTTACACTAATACCATGGAACCTCAGTATACGAGTGTACCTGGATACCAGAACATCCTACAGCAGCTTTACACTAATACCATGGAACCTCAGTATACGAGTGTACCTGGATACCAGAGCATTCTACAGCAGCTTTACACTAATACCATGGAACATCAGCATACGAATGTACCTGGATACCAGAACATCCTACAGCAACTCTACTCTAATACTATGGAGCATCAACATAAGAGTGTACCTGGATACCAGAACATCCTACAGCAGCTCTACACTAATACCATGGAACATCAGCATACGAGTGTAATTGAATACCAGATTTTCAGGAAACCAGGTCAGGCTGGCAAATTTTGTTGTTCCAGAATATAAGGCAAAATCCAGAATTCAAGCCGGAGACATAAGACCTCTCAGCACTACCTAACAGCATCTTGATACTGTTTCAATGGATTAGGTCACATTAACATAGAGACTTAAGCCAGCTGACAAGGCGCTTGGTAGTGATAGACTGTAGCATAATGGTCGGAAGTAACCTTGTTTTCCGTGTTTTCGATTTTTTGAGGGACTGCTCAAATTATTTACATGAATTTTAATGGGAAAAAAAGTTTCAGAATACAAGTTATTCACTCTATGAGTTCAGTCATGGAACAGATTAAATCGGTATCCTGAGATTCTGTTATTACTCCTGTATATGACAAATGATGATAATCCGCTATAAAATATAAGATGGAGTAAAATCAAGAGAGAGTAAACAAATGGAGATCTACTTACAGTCGCGTTCCTGATAGCCGTCAGAATATCCCTTGTATTGAGTCCGCCCAAGGGATCCACTGACTCCAGTGTGCGCCCAAATGTCTCATGGAAAATGTAGCATATGCGAGCTCCACCACACCTGCAAAGTACGGAGATGGTTTTTTAATCTGGTTATTTTCGGGGTGAGGGGGGTAGCATGCTGACTGAGTTGCTGAGCAAACAAGCATTATTGTTACAGACAACAGACAGTCCCAACTCAGAATCTGCCTTGGTTTAACCCCAATTATGATCAACTTTCTCTAAACTGAAATGTCTATATAAACTCTAACCTTCTTGCATCAATGATACAAGAACAATAATCTCATAACAGTACATTATTGTCTCAAGGAAAATACAGAATACATGAGCCCCAACAAATCTGAAAGCATTTTTTTTTAATATTTATAATTCAGTCTAGAGTCTAAACTCTTTAATGTAACTGATATAGAACTGGTTAGTTCTGCATATCTTGGTAAACTGATGCATGACAAGTTTGATGTTGTAAGGGACCTTTGGGAGTGAGTACACAGTGCACATGTACAAAGAGATCTTAACGGCTGGAAAGAATGGTGCAGAGGGAGATGTGGCTGATGTTCAACACCCTGGGGAGGGGTGAGACAGACATACAACCAGACAGTTACTGCTCCCACTGGAACTGGAATTCTGCACATGCTGCGGAAGATGAGTCCAGAGCTTTTATGGAAATGTCATGTGTGCTATGATGTTGCTTCTTAACTCATAATGTAACTGACCATCACTTTCAATCTTCTCCTCCCTGTGTGTACAGGATGAGGCAGACAACAACAAGGCCTTTATCATGTCTGACAACATGCCTAGAGAGTACAGTATTACTATTCTTTGCTTCCAACAGAGGCTCTCAATAACATAAGCAATCACTTTCATTGCAGAAACAATATTTCTATAAGTGTTTTATATCCTTTCCCATCAAACACATGAAAAGATCCTTAGCACAGTTCATGAATCTGGTGATAAAGTATCTGCTCTGAATGATGTGCACAAACTGTAACTAAGACAAGAACCAACGTTACTCTACTTTCGATAAAAACAACAATAATTAATGATAGGTGAGGACTATCACCACAGCCCTCTGGACAGATTCCTAAGTGCTCTATATTTTTCTCAACAGCTCCACAAGCATCATTAAAGTAAACAGTGCGGCGCAATGTCAGACAAATGTTTTTTTTTTTCAAAGCCCCATCCTGGCTGTTGCCAAAGGCCCTAATGTAGTCTAACCTATAGGTTAAACAGGGTTTCTGGGACCTGTCCTCGAGTGGCACTTTGTGTCACCAGGTGTTTATCACTCTGTGTGATGTCTTGGTGAGGTTTAAATGTCATAAATCAAGTGATGTTGCTCAGTCTGCTGTGTGCTGATTAATCAAGCCATGTGCCCTTAGTAAAATGCTCATCCTTATTGTTCACTCCTCAGTTTTAAGAATCAACTTCATCGCACATCAGAAATGATCATAAGTGCTCCAATCTCATCCTCATCATAAGTGCTCCACTCTCATCCTCATCATAAGGGCTCCCATTTTTTTAGACTAACAATTCTGTTCTGATTGATGTAAGGATGGGTGGCACCCACATAGTTTCCCTGTCTCGTGGCTCCAATTGGTACAGTCTATTCAGTGAAAAATCATTTTCCATGAAACTGAAAGCCTCACAGGGTTTGTCTCTTGTATGGCATTGATGATGTCTCTCCTGTCAATACAGGGCCCATTCCTGATAGTCGCACTGCCAGCCAGAGCATCTGCTCTCTCATTGCCTTTCACACCAGCATGCCTGAGACAACCAGGAAAGTGACTTTGTGAAACAGATGGAGCCACTGTTTTCCTATGTACCCCATCTTGATCCTATCCTAGCATGCTCACTGAGTCACTGAGAAAACAGGCATTATTGTTATAGACAACAGACAGTCCCAAACCAGAATCTGCCTTGAATAAAATATTATTTTTTACATGAGCATATCTCCACTTTACAAAAATTGTGACTAAGAACTAATGGTAATGTACTTTAGGTTTCAAACAACAAGCCTAAAGCGGAATCTGTCACAGTGATACGAAAAAAATGATGTTAGAGTCCAAGGCTTATGCCACTTTGTTTTAAATTCATTTTTGGTGTGGCATTTCACATAAGATGACAAGCATGGCGCTGCAAGCTTTTCTAGCTTGGTGGATATGGAGGTGCGACTGGAGCTGTCAGTTATGACAATGTCACTAAGGGCATAAGATGTTTGGTAAATGAACACATGTTCAGAAAAGTAACGTTTAAGGCCAAGGATGAAGTTCCTCCTCTCCACAGAACAAAGACTGAGCAGTCCTGTAGAAACCATGTTTTACTATCTTACAACAGTAACAATATAGATTTTTATCTTACTGGATGTATAATGTTTCTGTCTGCTTTAAATTCACAAATAACTACTGAATTCAATGAACAAACTGGTAAATTTACTTTCCTTTTCTACAAACTTTGTGTTTCCTGTAAATATCTTGAAGATTTAACTTTTAATCACAGCGCACATTTTAGTTTGTAGATGAATTAATTAGGACTGCAATTTTGTTTCTTCTTATTTTCGTTTCTTTTTAGGTCCCTCACTCAGGCGAGTGGGCCAATGGTAACAGACATGTGAATCTTTCTGCCAATTATTAGGCTTTATTCGGTCAGACATTTAGGACTTTGTGTGCCAAATGGCATGTCTCAAACAGATATTTATGTCAAGCCAGCACACTGACAGTGGTAGGCTGTCATTGTATACCTCAACACAGTGACGACGATGTTTAGGAAGGACGGGAATTATGGAGACAAGACTGTTTCACAAATTACTGCCCACAAGAGACGCTGCTTGTTTAGGCTGCAAGCAAAGCTCTTGTTTTAGAGCTAAATCGTCTAACCACTCAGCAGACGTGTTAACCGAGAGTTGTCATTTAGTTGTAAGTTCGGTTAGCGGCCTTTGCCTATGTTCTAAATGAGCTTTGACAGGCGTTTTCACCCACACATTGGGAGTGGGCAGACGTGAGCCAGACTGGATTCTACATCTATAGAGACCACCAACTCTGAGATCCCCTGCCAACTCAGTTCAGGTCGCAAAGTGGCATGTGACATGGACGTGCGGAAGGATTCTTGCATGAGGATCCGTAAAACCATCTTAGAGGCACTGCCGCCCGAGGTGAGGTAGAGAGTAACCCCTTATATTCATCAAAATGGCCTTAACTTTCTCTCATGCCTGTGATCAATATCACTGCGCCACGGACAGCAGATGTTCAATAGTATGAAATAGCAGAGGTAACAACACTTACAATTCGGATGTTTCAATATTTTTAGAAGTTCCTTCAATAGTGCTGCAATAAGCCGAAGCAAACCGTGTGATGATCTGTAACAACAGCTGGCTCTGAAATGTACAAACAAGTCGTTTGTGTGTGTGTGTTTATGTGTATGTGTCTGTGTGTGTGTGTGTTATTTATTCTTTTGTTAATGTTTTGTTGAGTAAAAGATGACTGAACCCAGGTAGAACAGAATCGACTGAGTAAGTAAGTTTATGTTTTGTTTAATAGTGTTCTTGTTTGCGAACCGCAGTAGCAAAGTGGCTAGATGTTTCCATGCCAACCCACAGGACTTGGGTTCGAATCCTCAGCAAGTCAGATTTAGAAAAAAAAACTGACCTTAGCTCCTAGGCAGGCTCAGCCTAAAATGAGCACCGTATAGAGACGTAGAAAGTAAAATACTGCCGCAAGATTTTGACTACACCACCAATCAGTTTGGCCATATTAAAACGGATGTTAGCAAACAGTATACCACAGCAAGCAATGATGTCCGAGCATCTGGTCTTGCCCTGTCAGTCTGTCGCCAGCACGAGAATTTTTTAGTCTTATGGCGTCAAACGTTTAGACTCTGTTGGCCTGCCATCCTGATTTCTTCTAATCTCCATTGTCCTCCAAGTGTCCTGTTGTCAGGACACATTCAAGTCTCCCCCTTCTTATAACATGCCTAAAGAATGTGGACTGGCATTTTCTGATGTTGGTAATCAGTTTCTTTTTGTCAAGTAGTTGCTTTTAAAAATCTGTTATCATGTTTATATGTGCCCACAGTGTTCTCATCATTCTACTAGAGAAACTATAAATCTGCAGCTTCCATATAACTGCACTTAGTTCTTCTCCAAATGACTTAAACTTTTATTATCTATATTAATAAAAATGTTAATTTTCCGAGTTTGTTAGCTCTAAACTCGGAAACTACTGAACCGATTTCTTTCAAATGTTCACACAACGTTGCCTCTGACTCAAAGCGTGATTTTTTGTCATAAAATCGCACAAACCATGAAAGACCTAGTTCCAGCAATGGTTAAATCATTTTTTGGTTTCGTTGCCGGCCCGGATTTGTTTTTAGTCGGTTGGCCACCTTTGACTGTGTAACACCGAACTTTACATTATTATTATATACTTTCATTTCTACCAAACGCTTGAGTATTTAGTAGTGAAGTTAGTTGTAAGCAATTCACCATTTTACACGGGTGATAGGGGTTCGATTCCTCGCTGGGTGATATGATTTTTTTTTCCCCTAACTGGGTGGCTGCCACGTTTTGTTGTGGTTTATAGCTAGGCTGCAATATCTAAGCTTTTTTTCGTTCGATTTTGGGGTTTACAGCTAGCCTGCGATAGCGGCGACTTGATGCTCAATGTTCATGTCACGGGTAATATTCATTCGCCCTTGACTGGGCGGTTGGCACGTTGTGTTGTGGTATACAGCTAGGCTGCGATATATGACCTAAAGTCTTCAGTCTTCGGTAGTAGAGTTGTAAGTATTCCGCCTTCAGGTGGATGACCTGTGTTCGATTCCCCGCTAGGTCCTAATTTTTCTTTTTGCCCTTGAGAGGGCGGTTGGCACGTTGTGTTGTGGTTTACAGCTAAGTTGCGACATCTGCGCCTTACGACTAGCGCCAACTCCTCTGGCTACAACGACCTGTACAGACAGTAGTGACCGTGTTGTTTTGTTGTTGTGATGGTGGTAGTGGTAGCAGTAGTACTGGTACTGGATGGGTGATGTGGTAGCTGTTACACCGGCCACATTTACTTCTCAGTACAGATTAATGCTACCCATTTTTGTCTGGGTGGACACGGATGCCGAGCTCAATTTAACAACAATGTTTCATCAGGCGATGACTTTCCCATACTTCGTAGAGGATTATTTTACAGTTCTCATTTCTTAACTATTTCTATTTTAACAATGTCGCCACATAATAATGTTTCAATCATTTGGAAAGGGAGATATAATTGGGCAGATGCTTGAGTCCTTGGTAGCATAGTTGTATATTTTGCGTGTTACGCGGGTGACTGGCGATCAATGCCCCGCTGGGTGATTAAATATTTGTTGTTGCCCTTAACTAAGCGGCTGGCACGTTGTGTTGTGGTTTATAGCTAGGCTGCGATATCTACGTCTTTTTTCCTCTCGGTTTGGGGGTTTATAGCTAACCTGTGATAGCGGTGACGTGATGTTGGTCATGTCATGGGTAATCTTCGTTTGCTCTTTAAAGGGCGGTTGGTGCGTTGTGTTGTGGTTTATAGTTAGGCTGCGATATCTACGTCTTTTTTCCTCTCGGTTTGGGGGTTTATAGCTAACCTGTGATAGCGGTGACATGATGTTGGTCATGTCACGGGTAATCTTCGTTCGCTCTTTAGAGGGCGGTTGGCGCGTTGTGTTGTGGTTTACAGTTAGGCTGCGATATCGGACCCAAACTCTACAGTCTTAGGTAGTATAGTTGTACGCATTCCCCCTTAACGTGGTTGACCAGTGTTCGATTACCCGCTTGGTGCTAATTTTTCTTTATCCCCCAAGAGGGCTGTTGGCAGGTTGTGTTGTGGTTTACAGCTAGGCTGCGATATCTGCACCTTTCGCCCAAAGACATCCGATTTCAGTAAAGTCCCATTTATTCTCCCCGTGACGCTTCACTCGACCATAAACTATTCGTTGATGACAGAAGCTGTTAACTAAGACTGCTTACAGTTCAGTTTACTTTGGGTGGACACGGATGTCAAGGTCATTTAACATTCGTCCCTTCAGAGAGGGGAGATGACGGGTGGGGGTTTTTATTTCCGCTATTTGTGAGTATAGAACAGACTATTACTGTGGGTTCCATCACTGGTTAGGTGATGGAGTTTTTTTTCTTTTTCTTTTTTGGGAGCTCAATTACACTAAACAGTCTGTGGCGACAACATGCAGTGCTAACCCCTCTGGCTACACCGACCTGCACAGACAGTAGTGACTGTTGTTTTGTTTTTATTCTGAAGGTGGTGGTGGATGTGGTAGCAGTAGTACTGGTACTGGATGGGTGATGTGGTAGCTGTTACACTGGCCACATTTACTTTTCATTACACATTAATTATATCCATGTGTCTCTGGGTGGACACGGATGCAAAGTTCAATTTAGTTACAATATTTCGTCAGATGATGACTTTCCCTTCCTTCGGCGAGGATGATATGATTAGTGGGGGGAGGGGGTTGATGGCAGACACTGTTAACTCAGAGAGCTTAAAACATTATTTTAAAGTTATCATTTCTTAACTATTTCTATTTTAATAATTTCGCAGTGATGATTTTTTTTTATTCCTTCGGAGAGGGGCATATTATGTGGGAAGCGGGGGGGGGGGGGGGGGGGGGGGGGGGGGGGGTAGGGGAACACTGTTAGCTGAGAGAGCTTAAAACAATATTTTTAAGTTCTCATTTCTTAACTATTTCTGTTTTAATACTTTCGCCAGGGATGATTTTTCATCCTTCGGAGAGGGAGACATGACTGGGTGGAGGGGAGAGGGAAGGGGGGTGAGGGTTATGACAGACACTGTTAGCTGAGAGCTACTTTCTTTCTTTTCCATTTCACCATTCGGGGCCACAGCAACGCGTGGCAGGGCACAGCTAGTATAACATATTTTTAAATGAAGGAAAACATTTTCTTCTTCATATTTACCGGCTTTAAACTCTGGAGACTGACTGGCTGACTTTCTACCCCACCAGGACATCACACAAGCGATAAACACCCGATGACATAATGTGCCACCATGTGGATGAGGATAACTGTGGAGAGGTCCCAGAAACCGCGTTCAGCCATTAGGTCATATTTATGGCTGGGCTATATTGCGGCCCCCGGCAAGAGCTAAGGTGGGTCTTCAAATAACGAAAAATGTCATCCTAAAAAGGACGGATATATATAAGCGAAAAATGTAGACCATATTTATGGCCGGGCTATATTGCGGCCCCTGGCAAGAGCCAGCGTAGGGCTTCAAATAACAAAAAATTGCATCCAAAAAGATAGCTACTAACTCTGGAGAAAAGTTCTGGGTTGTTTAACCATCTCTAAACCTTGGTCTTGTTCTAGGATTTGAATTTTGCATGCAAACTGTTTGTAATTGTACAAAATAGAGGATTAATGTAAAGGGTTTGATTGGTTGTTAGAATCATGGAAACCTCTAGGTTTCAAGACATAAGCAGCATGAGAGAGCGAAAATCGTGAATGTGTGAGTGGACTTTTGTGGAGGAGTTGCGGAAGTTGATTTGAAAGAAACTGTCTTGCCTACTCTGTGAACACTAGACAACGGCCTGTCTTTTATTACAAAAAGAGGAAGATTACACAATTGGTTCCTCGCCTCTCAGGCAGGTGCATTCCAACTTTAAATGAAATTTTAAACCTATTTATGCTGGCCAAGCCCCCGGTTGGGAATCCGTTTCTCAGACGACTAAAGGCAGCTGTACACCAGTCTCGATCAGTAGAAACCCTGATCCTGTACAAAACTAAACATGTGGTTTAGCACCTCCTAATCTTGCAAAGAAAACTTCTTCTTAGCATAAAAGCTTCTCGGCTGTAGACTCCAGGGGACAGTTCTAGCTGTTCGTCCACTTCTGGACTTTGGTCTTGTTCTAAAACTTGAGTTTTGCATGCATATCTTTTTACAGATCTGACTCATTTGTATGCAGACTGTTGTTTCCTCGCCTCTCAGCCAGATGTGCTCCGACTTTTAGAGGGAAAATCCCTAATTAGTCGCCTTTTACAACATACCCAACATGTAGCCAGTTGGTCCTGTTTTCAACCGCAAAATGGGGGTCCCTGAAGCCTGGGAGGAAAGAAAACAAAAGCAGGACACAAACTCTGCAAACACACAACTTGTAACAAAAACAGCACAATACCTTATCACCTATTGGATCACCAAAAGAATTCAAGAGGGACTGGAACTGGGCTATTAGGACATTCACTCTGGTTTTAAGCTCAGGCAAACAATCTCGGATGTGGTGCATAAGTAGCTGGAAAGCAAAAATAAATCATCAGACTATAAATACAAATAGGAAGGATAAAGACTGAATAAAAATATTTAAAATAGCAAAGAACCTTTTTTTCACGTCTTGGGCTAGACCAAGATTTTAAAGGTCAATCACAAATCATTATAAATTAATATGGGTGATATCATTATAAATTAATATGGGTGATATCATTATAAATTAATATGGGTAATATCATTATAAATTAATATGGGTGATATCATTATAAATTAATATGGGTGATATCATTATAAATTAATATGGGTGATATCATTATAAATTAATATGGGTGATATCATTATAAATTAATATGGGTGATGTGGTCAACATCATTATGGCCATAGGTACTTCCCAGAATATTTATTGGTACTAATTTTAAGTGTAAAATTACACATTCTGTCCTTTCTCTCCCAAGTGAGCACTAGTCTTCAATGAACTCACACCAAGTAGTCCCATCCTTTTTGCTATCATATGCAGCTCACTTTACGTCCCCACCTTTTTTACTTCGTTAACTCCCTTCTCCATGTGTTTTTATTTAATCTGCCATTTTGATATGCTACCATGGGTTTCAGTGCAAAGACATTCTAATCACATTATTCTCAGGCTTTCTCTATGTGTGTCTTATCCAACACCAGCATCTTTTCTTCATTTCTGGACTCACTGGAACCTGTTTAGTCCTCTCCCAAAGCTCCATATTTGTGATTTTATCATTTGTATCTATAAGTGGTAAGCAACAACAATAAAATGTGCCTAAATACTACATGATAACTTCTTCTTTTCCACCTTGTACCTCATCGAAGTGTTGGGGGGGGGGGGGGGAGAATGTAATCTTCGTTGATGAGCTCTGTCAAGAGCACTGTTAAGACTGATGTTCATTTCTGTAAGGCTGTTCTTAATGCCATCACTCCATATTTTCCGAGGTCTTCCACTCGCTCTATACCCGTTGTAACGTTTTAGTGTGGCTCGCTGTGGCAGATAGTACCAGGGCATTCTTGTTAGGTGTCCAAACCACTTCAATTGTTCTTCTGATGACCTGTAAGACTGGCTTTATTTCTAGCATTCATCTGATTCATGATTTGGTATTCTGTCTTTCCTTGAAACTCCTGCAGCTCTTCTAAAGCATTTCATCTCTGTTGATAACAACTAGCATAAATGGCCTTGACACTTTCTTGCTAGATGCCAACAACAGTACAGAAAAAAACCATAGTAACTTAGTCCTGTTTCTGACCAATTGCCAGGATTTTGAGGCTTGGCAGGTTTGAACATTCAAATATGTTATCTTGAAGTAAGATGCAGCTCCAATCTATCAGTCTGTCCTGTTACTAGATGCATCCATTTTGGTGGCAAATGAAGGAGCTGTGTTAGTTTTAGAGGTTGTGAATAAAAATGCTGAATAAGAAGTGGACACACGCAGGTTGTGGTGGTCACTGAGAAAGAAGTTGGATTATTAGTTATTGTGCCTTAACCTCTACTCTAAACCTCTTTGTAGGGTTTTCTCTTCACAGAAAAGGCTAGTAGAATGAAATAGTAAACAAACTGCCTGACAGTAGGCCAGGAGAAACACTAGTAGTCTTCTTTCTTTGCGTCACCAGCGGTAAACTGTGCTAGCAGGTTCTGCTTCTTCGTCCACTTCTGGATTTGGTCTTATTCCAGAACTTGAGTTTTGAATGGACATCAACTTTACATATTGGCTTATTTGTACTCAGACTGTTGGCTCCTTGCCTCTTAGGAAGATGCACTCTGATTTTAAAGGAAACATCCCTAATTAGTCGCTTTTTGCAGCATGCTTTGGGGAGAGGGGGCGCTCGAAGCCCACACATGGAATTTTATCATTATTAAAGAGAGTTCAAACTTAGTGACAACTTATAAACAGGATGGGGACAGAAGAAGGGGCAGCAAAGACGTAAATATCTGATTCGCTAGTGACATGGCAACATTAGGACAAGCACACAGACCTAATCTGAGACAGATCATGCGAGGTAGTTCTCTGTCTGCTTGATTTATACCAACAGACAAGTTCTTCTTGTAAAAATGGCCTGGGTGGGGGAGGGGGCAGGGATGTTCCTATTCATCTATAACAGCGAGAGTTGTGCAGTACTATGGTTTTGATCAGCCTCCTAGGCCAACATTTCTTACTTCAGGTTCCCTTCAGAGAAGGGGTTCTTAACCTGCCGGTCGCCACCCTTTTTTGGGGTCAAACGACCCTTTTACAGGGGTTGCCTAAGTCCACCACCATCATCATCATCATCATCATCATCACATCCAACTGGTGGTGAGATTCAACCCCACCAGGACATCCACCAAGCGATAAACACCTGGTGACACAAAGTGCCATCATGCGGATGAAGATCACACCAGGAGAGGTCCCAGAAACCCTGTTCAACCGTTAGATTATATTAGGGTCACTGACAACAGCCTGGGTGGGGCCTTAAAATAACGAAAAATTCCGTCCCATATTGAGATGGCATATAAGGCATATAGTGTTAAATCCACATTTGTTATAGATCAATCAGCAATTAATGGGTGAGATGTCATATCAACCACCTTTACTTTCTAGAACATTACCTGGTATCCAATGAGGCTGGGTCAAACTGGCAGCCAAGGACATTTAATAAACATCCACCTCTTGCGGATAAGAACCCAAGACTTTTAGGTCAGATGGCCAGCATATGTTACATGGCCAAACCAAACACACAAAAATTACAAACAGAAATGTACAGGGCTAAACAAACAGAAATGTACAGGGCTAAACAAACAGAAATGTACAGGGCTAAACAAACAGAAATGTACAGGGCTAAACAAACAGAAATGTACAGGGCTAAACAAACAGAAATGTACAGGGCTAAACAAACAGAAATGTACAGGGCTAAACAAACAGAAATGTACAGGGCTAAACAAACAAAAATGTACAGGGCTAAACAAACAGAAATGTACAGGGCTAAACAAACAGAAATGTACAGGGCTAAACAAACAGAAATGTACAGGGCTAAACAAACAGAAATGTACAGGGCTAAACAAACAGAAATGTACAGGGCTAAACAAACAGAAATGTACAGGGCTAAACAAAACAAGAAATGTACAGGGCTAAAACAAACAGAAATGTACAGGGCTAAACAAACAGAAATGTACAGGGCTAAACAAACAGAAATGTACAGGGCTAAACAAACAAAAATGTACAGGGCTAAACAAACAGAAATGTACAGGGCTAAACAAACAGAAATGTGTTTACTCTGTTTAGAGTTTTTGCAAGGTAGGGGGTTCCATTCCTGCTGGCGATAGAGGGATACTTCTTCTGTAAAAACGATGCCTCATCTTTCAGGGCTTCTGATAATTCCTGGGATAAAATTGATATTAGCAATAGAAATGAGCAGCCAACAGTGAGCATCACAGTTATCGGAAATATTTTAAATGAAAAAGCGACAAGTTTCTCCTATCTTAGATATGTTATAAACAATCGTAGACATAAAATAGAAATAAAATAGATAGTAGGAATGACGCAACAAGTTTCTCCTATCTTAGATATGTGATAAACAATCGTAGACACAAAATAGAAATAAAATAGATATTAGGAATGACCTAAAATATTTTTAATGAGACAAAGATATTACCTGAAATCTAAAAAGATAAATTAAACATTCAAATATGAATTGTCAAATATTATTATGCTAATATAGTTGAAACAGTCTATGGAAGTGTAGATTTACAGAAGAACAGACCATATTTTATGTTTAAAAAAAAAACAATAACATACAGAGGTTCTGAACAGACTGAAATATGACAACAGTTGTTGAAAGAATTTGAAAAATAAATGTTAAGTAAATAATTATGGCAAAGTTAAAGGCAAGCAAGAGGTCGACAGTGATGCAAATGGGAAGACAACGAGATGGATAAACAGCAGTCGTAGAGTGTATAACTAGGGAAAAGACAGAAAAACATGCAGATCCATTAAAGCTAACTTTCAATGTCAACCCTTTCCTCGCAGAAGCCACAAAATTTACTCTCTTGGTTGACTCCAGATTTCCATAAATTTAACTTTTCCAACTTCTCTATAGTGACCCATTTTCGAAGCGCACAGTTAATGTAATTAGCTGTTTTCATTCCGGCGAAAACATTTAGGAGGGTTTTCTTTTGAGCCAGGTAGCATTTTTTGTGAATCCAAGTTGACAACAAATTTTTCTACAGCCTCAATGACAGAGGTCAAGGCATGAAGTCACATGACACATTCTTTTTCAGGCCCAAAGGAAATAATTTCATTAAATGCTTTACCCTGTTCAAGTAGCCACTTTTTCTTTTGACGTCTATGAAGGTTTCCAGAACAAACAGGAAACTATGGCGGTAGGACTGGATCTTGAGGATGCTTATAACAGAGTGAGATACGACATCTTGATGACTGCACTGAAGGAGAAGGAGGTCCATGGATGGTGAATTGGATTGCAGCTGTCCTGTATTCACGTCGGGTTGCTCTTCGACTGGGCTCATGGACCTCAGAACCATACAGTTTGGCCCCAGGACTGCCACAGAGATCCGCTATCTCGCCTGTGCTCTTTAACGTGTATACGAGCAAGATTGCAAGCCTAGAAGCACCAGGAGTTGGAAGGATACTGACTTTTGCAGATGATATACCTGCATATAGGCAGGGGGAAGAGAGGGTACGAACAGCCCGAGAGCTACAAGCGACAGTAGACAAAGTGACTGAGTGGTGTACAGAAATGAGGGCTGTTGTCCACCCGGAAAAGGCGTCTTTTTTGTGGTGTTCTCTGGACAACATAATCATTAAGGCTAATGTCCCAAGTCTCACAATAGATGGTAGAAACGTCAACAGAGAGAGCAAACTGAAGTATCTGGGAATTACATTTGACAGGAGCCTGTCCTTTAAGGACCACGTGGAGAGTGTTGTGACAAGATGCCAAAAAGGACTTATTGCACTTAAGACTATGGCTGCAACTGACAAAGCAGAGAATGCTTTTCACACTATATCAGCACCTGATCTTGTCAGTGGTTGATTATGGCCTAGGAATGCTTACTGTCTCAAAGAGCCAGATGGACAAACTAGAGCGCATACAGAACGCAGCTATGCGGGTCATTCTGGGTTGCACCAGAGACACCCTAGTGGTGTGTACGCGATACATCCTTGGTTTGCCGACTGTTGCTGGTAGGCACAAGGTGCTGCAGGTGAAGTCATATTTTAGGGTAGCTGCAGACACAGACCACCCTTTGCACGAAGGTCTGGATGCAGTTAAGGGTCAGCGGCTGATAAGAGGGAAGTCATGGATGGCTCAGGCAGAGGACACAATCAGACAGGTTTGCATCCTTGAGAACATTAGGCGAGGAGAGGAGTGGGTCAAAGTGCAACCTGAACAGTCAGACTTGTGTAGGGTCATAATCACACTGAGCCGGGAATGCAAAGACTGGCCAGCAGGTGCCACAGAGGTGGAAATTCAGCAATTAATTCAAGATAATGCTCACTCAGAAGATTTGATCATTTACACAGACGGCTCAGTGTCAAGGGGCAAAAGAAGTGCTTTGGATTTTTTAGCAAAAGTTAATGGTTGACATTTGGTGCAGGAAAGACTAGCATATGATACCACAACATCCAGCTTAAGAATAGTGGTGGAGGCGGTCACTGCAGCTTTCCGTTGGCTAGAGAGCACGACACACACACACACACTGTAATTGTAACTGACTCAGAAAGCATGCTGAGGAAGATCAGGACAGGCATGCTTCGTGCAGAGTGGCATGCATCGCTGCAGAAGACACTGGTGAGGAGTATTGTCTGGATTTTTTCACCAGGAAATGCTGGTGTGTTAGGAAATGAACAGACAGACAGACTGGCTGGCTCTGCACAGCTTGGTGGAATACTGATGCATGATAAGGCAGATGTGGTTAGTGCCTTGTGGGAGAGCTTGTACAGTTGGGCGGAGCAGATTGATCCCCACAGTGTGGTGAGATTGATGCAGTTGGGGGTGACGAGAGGTTCTGGCAGATGCTCGAGGCTCAGAGGAAAGGCAAGACAGATGCTTAATCAGAATGCTACTTGCACCATTAGTATCGGAACTCTTCGCTGGCTGCTGAAGATAGGGACGGAGCGCTTATGGGAATGCCCCGAATGCTGTGATGTTGCTTCTTGAATCAAATCAAATCAGCTATTTTCATTCCGGTGAAAACACTCAGGAGGTCAGGATATAATAGCATAAACTAAAAACTGGATTGAGGGATTTCTTTTGAGCCAAGTAGAATTTTTTTGTGAATTCAAGTTGATGACAAATTTTTCCGCAGCTTCAGTGACAGAGGTCAAGACATGAGTCAGCTGACACATTCTTTTTCAGGCCCAAAGGAAATAATGTCATGAAATGCTTTACCCTGTTCATGTAGACAAATCCAGTGGTAGTCTGATTCAATAGCTCTCAGACAGTGCAAGAGTGTGGGCATCTGCAAGAATTGTTAGAGTGTATGGATTTGTGTTCTTGATTTCTGTTGAAGTGCTTGGACCGTCTCGACGAATTGTGTAAACCAAAAGAGTGGAATTCTGAATACTGTCAGACTAGATATTAGTCAGAGGAGGGTATAAGTGTTAGCCTGTATTTAGTGAGGGTTGGCACTGGTGCATCTATGTGTTAGGCTGGTTGACAGGGACAAGTGTGCAGGTTCCACAAAGGTGGCTGTGGTAATTGAGTGATGACAGTGTGAGGTAGTGATGGAAAAGTAACAAGGGATACTTCCAGGAGTGATAAGGTATTGGACGATGTGCTGAATTTTATTCACCAGTTTAGTGCGACTACCTTGTCTTCAGATGATGGGGTCTCTTGTATAAAGATCCAATACAAAAGATTGATCTGGCGTGATGAGATGGGAGTTGCCGGTACCAGCCATTTAGACATAACAATGCAAGGGTGTAATGCTGTTCTGCCCAGTTATTGAAAATGTGGGGAACTTATCGGACTTTGTGCTGATATTGTATGCTAGCAGAGCATACCTGAGTCGTACTTGTGTCTTCAGGTGAGAACCTCACACAGGTTACAGTCTTTGATAGTGGGGACTGGGAACTTTTCAGACTTTGCGCCGGCATCTAAGCAAGGACGTGTTAGTGTGCTGTTGGTACAGTTATTGAGCTAGTGATCCACTAGTTGAATGAGAGCAACCAAGAGACTATTCGTTCATCTTACATCCCAGATTCATCATCATCAGACTGACTGCACTATCAGAGCATATTTTAAGTGATCTTTTACCGTTTCATAAGGAAGCTCCAAAATGCAACATCAAAGTAAATAGGACAAACGTCAAGCAAGTTAATATGTATCCTAGACTCGTTACCCTGATAACATCAGATGAGAGATGTATTAAAGAAGTTGAATGTAGAATAGCTCAAGTAAAGGCAGCATTTTCCAAAATAAAGAATATTTAATGCAATCTTTTTTTTCCATTTGAAATGAGAAAGAAAATTGAGAATTCTTAAAAGCTTTATAAATCCTATATTGATATATGGAAGTGAATCATGGACAGTTGGTAGATTAGTGAAAACTTATTTGGGAGCTGCGGAGATGTGGTTTTATAAACGGATGATGAGATAAAAAAGAGTAATGAAGACGTCTTGAAAGGAACTGACGCATGAAGAGAACTGATTGTCCACATCAGAAAGGGACAATCTACAGTCTTTGGTCATGCGATAAAAAAGAGAAAACTGGAGTACACTGTGACAGTAGAAAAGCTGGAGTGGAGGAGAGGCAGAGCAAGACTGAGAGAAAAGATACTGGACAATCTGACCTCATGGCATGGATGATCATCAGTGACAGAGTTGACTGAAAGTACACAAGACAGAAGGTTGTGGATAGACATGACTTCTAACGCCACACGGCATGGAATTTAAGAAGAAGAAGGTAGTATCTGTCATTCTCAGTAGACACAACTAGTGCCAGAAAGGAATGGTCTCAAATATTCAAATTCCTAGACACCTAGTAGTTAGTGAAAGTACATACGGTGGTGTAATATCACCACCAATTTCAAAACAGAGCAGAGAAGGGCAGAACTAGGGGAATAATACTTGCCTTCTGGTTGTTGATATCTGCTTGACTACGATTGACGACACCAATAATCCCTAGCTTCACTGGAATAACACGACCACATAAGACATCCATTGCATCTGTTCCAGCATCCATCAGATCTAATTTTGTGATTACAGCTAGTGTGCGGCGACCTGATTAAAATTTGAAAACAGAACACATATACAAACACACACACAAAAAGGGAATTATTTCAGATTTATCTAAATAAATAAATGATGATACTGCCTTCACAGGCTGTTAAGTCTTTCCTATCTTTGTCTGCTATCTTCTGATAATAGGTTAAGTTGTTCACATCTATCTTCCTCTTTTTCTAATTGATATGCAATAAAACCTGGTGCTTTGAATTCAACCATTTTGTCCAGAGAAGCTGACAGACACATCCCGCAGTTGTTCCATCCTGTAAATGCTGCTTAGCAATATTTCTAGTGGCATATTTCCTAGACAACTAAATAATGCTTCTGCTTGTGTTTGCACCTGCTCTGTTATCAATCTGGGCCACTGCTTGTGTGTGCATCTGCTCTGTTATCAATCTGGGCCACTGCTTGTGTCTGCACCTGCTCTGTTATCAATCTGGGCCACTGCAAGTGTCTGCACCTGCTCTGTTATCAATCTGGGCCACTGCTTGTGTCTGCACCTGCTCTGTTATCAATCTGGGCCACTGCTTGTGTCTGCACCTGCTCTGTTATCAATCTGGGCCACTGCTTGTGTCTGCACCTGCTCTGTTATCAATCTGGGCCACTGCTTGTGTTTGCACCTGCTCTGTTATCAATCTGGGCCACTGCTTGTGTTTGCACCTGCTCTGTTATCAATCTGGGCCACTGCTTGTGTTTGCACCTGCTCTGTTATCAATCTGGGCCACTGCTTGTGTCTGCACCTGCTCTGTTATCAATCTGGGCCACTGCTTGTGTTTGCACCTGCTCTGTTATCAATCTGGGCCACTGCTTGTGTCTGCACCTGCTCTGTTATCAATCTGGGCCACTGCTTGTGTTTGCACCTGCTCTGTTATCAATCTGGGCCACTGTTTGTGTTTGCACCCACTCTGTTATCAATCTGGTCATTCGTCATGGTAACATTCTCCTCAGATTGTAATGATATGTTAAGTGCCTTCACATTGTTCCCTTGTTTCCAAAAGATCCTTTCAACATCTGGTTTGTCATGCAGCAATATAAGAGGGGAAGTCCAAAAAAGTGAGTCACAAATGATTATGAGATGGCATGAAATGTAGTTAGTGGTTTCTGAAGGTGTCATTAGGTTACAGCAGCACTAAACTTTATGTCTGTCTCCATTCGTTAGTTGGCACTAGGTGCTGCATGCGCAACACAGAAACAAAATGGAAACTGTACTTAAGGAGTGTACCCTTGAAGAATAACATTCTGCGGTGGGGTTTTTTTAGGGCAAAAGGGCTACCTGCGAAGGACATTTATAAGGAAATGCTTCCGGTTTACGGTGACAAATGTTTATCCAGTAAAGCAGTGCATAGCTGGGTAAATAAAATTTCTCAAGGGTGCTCTAAAATTGTTATTAAGTCTGATCATGTCATCTTGTTGAGACTGCAACAGATGCATTCATCCAGCAGGTGGAGGAGATGATTAGAGGTGATAGGTGAGTTAAGGTTGACTCTGTAGCAGCTGCAATCGGGTGCTCACATGGTTCAGCATGTAAGATAATGCATGATCAACTGAAATTCAACAAACTGTGCTCAAGGTGCGTACCAAGATAATTGATGGACGAATACAAAATGAACTGATTAGGCCTGTCCTTGCAGCATCTCTGTTGATAAATAGATGAAGGAGAAGACATGCTGAACAGGATTATTACTGGGGATGAATCATGGGTGCATCACTACCAGCCCTAATCAAAGCCTGCTTCAATGTAATGTAAACATCCTTCTTCACCTTGTGTTCACAAATTCAAGGTTACGCCATCAGCAGGGAAGGTTATGCTGTGACAGTGTTCTGGGACTGTCAAGGATTGCTTTTAACCAATTTCAAAAACAATACATAAGAAAGGATCTGATGATGATATCATTCACATGGAAAATAACAAAAATCTGTAATGGAAAATATTGACAATTTATGACAGTGGGTTTGTGGATAAAAATGCAGATCAATCTTTTTCTTCTTCGCCTTCACCAGCTGTACACTCTGGCAGAAAGTTCTGGTTGCTCGTCCACTAGTGAACTGCAGTCCTGCTCCAGAACCTGAGTGTTGCGTGTGCATCAGTTTTACAGATCTCATACTCTTGAATACAGACTGTTGGTTCCTTGCCTCTCCGGCAGATGCACTCCGACTTCAAAGGAAGCTCCCCAATCAGTCGACTCTTACGACATGCTTTTGGGGAGGCAGTGGGTCTATTCTTGTTTTCCCCATAATGGGGCCCGGAACCCACACGGGGGTATGCAGATCAATGATATACAGCATGAAACAAATAAATAAATATCAGAATACAGAACTTCTTTAACAAAACAAACTATTTTTTTACCATCAGGGTCATACTCCCGAGCCAACTTAATTCCTTCTGAGGTAGCAAAATCTGTATTGGCAGCAGTCACTGCAAGGATGACTGAATTAGGATTGGAAATGTAGTGAATGCACAAGTCACGGATTTGACTTTCAATGTCTGGAGGTTGGTCGCCGACAGGAACTTTGGTCAAACCCGGGAGGTCAACAAGAGTTAAGTTCACCACTTTATTTGAATAGATCTTCAGTACGATCGGCTCTGGACAGATACCCTGTAAATCAAATACAAAATAAGACGTACACACAACATTAGACTAATCTTTTTTCCAATCGATGTATGTCTGGAAATGTAACAATCTGGGTCTCGGGGCTCCCCAAGTGAGTTCTGGGGCCCCATTGTGGGGAAAACAAGAATAGACCCACTGCCTCCCCAACAAGCACGTCGAAGGAGTTGACTAACTGGTGATTTCCATCGAAGTCAGAGTGCGCCTGCTTGAACGGCAAAGAACAACCAACTGCACACAAATAAGTCAGTAAAATGGATGTGCACGCCAAAACTCAGGCCCTGGCACAAAGTCCAAATGGGCAAACAACCAGGACTTTTCTCTGTAGCTTACAGCCGGTGAACAAAGAAGAAGGACAGGGTTTCAAAGCAATTAAGGTGTCCTGAAATGCACTACCTTGTAAAGATTACCAGAAATGCACTACCTTGTAAAAATTACCAGAAATGCACTACCTTGTAAAGATTACCAGATATGCACTACCTTGTAAAGATTACCAGAAATGCACTACCTTGTAAAGATTACCAGAAATGCACTACCTTGTAAAGATTACCAGATATGCACTACCTTGTAAAGATTACTAGAAATGCACTACCTTGTAAAGATTACCAGATATGCACTACCTTGTAAAGATTACCAGAAATGCACTACCTTGTAAAGATTACCAGATATGCACTACCCTGTAAAGATTACCAGATATGCACTACCTTGTAAAGATTACCAGATATGCACTAACTTGTAAAGGTGATCAAATATGAACTATTTTATATAGAGAACTGAATAAACATTATCGTATAAAGATAACTAGATGTGCACTATTTAAGAAAGGTGACTGGCTTCTTCGTTGCCCATGGAACAAGGCGTATGTTTCAGAATGTCAGAGCAGGAATGCCAACAATGTACGTTCTACTGAAGCATAGATGCCAGCGTGTGGGTTCCATAGACCTATTTTAGGGGTAAACAAAAACAGACCCACTGTACCCTAGCAAGCATGTTGTAAAATTTTATTAATTAAGGGTGTTTCTTTTGAGGTCAGAGTGCATCTGCTGGAAAGGCCATATTTGTGTTTACCCCTAGGAACCAACAGTCTGCACACAAATAAGCCAGATGTGTCAAATGGATGTGCATACAAAACTCTGTTCTGGAACAAGATCAAAATTCAAAAGTGGATGAGCAACCATAACTTTCTGCCAGATTTTACAACAGGTGAATGCGTAGGAGTCGGCTAATTGGGGACTTGCTTCGATGTCAGAGTGCAATCTACCTGAGTGGCAAATGCACAAATAACTGCTCACAAATAATCTAGTAAAACGGTTGTATATGCAAAACTCAGGCCATGGCACAAAGCCAAAGTATAAAATAGGTGAACAACCAGGACTTTCCGCCGCAGCTTACAGCCGATGAACAAAGAAGAAGAGAAGTAAACAAACACAACAGCAAGCAAAGACCCCAAAAAATGCAAAATAATTACATTAAAATAAGTCATAATAGTATATCACTACTTATGATTAGAAAAACAAAAAATTTAATTTTAGTATATATTATGTTCTATTTATTCTGAGTATCAAGCTGAGTTACAGAGATGGGAATTTAAGGCAGGTGAAAAAGACCGAGAAGAGATGGAGTGGGTTGGCTAATATTGGAAAGGTTACAACGATATGGTTTGCATTAAGCTGAGATACAAATTTATCTTCTTCTCTTCCTCCAATTTACCTCATCAAAATGGTAGGAGAAGATGTTGGGATCCTCTGTGTGCTCTTTCAAATGTGCTATATAAGTTGATCTTCATTTCTTTAAGGCTCTTCTTGAAATATTGTTCCATTTTTGCATTGTCTTCCCATTGCTCTGTGTTTATGATTTTTCTTCAGCATGGCTCTTTGTGACAGCTGATACCAGAGCATTCTCCTCAGATGGTCCAAACCATCCCATCCGTTGCTCTTTAATGAACCATATGACTGGTTTCATGATTACAAAGTCCCTGTGTGGGTCCCCCGACCCCATTGTGGGGAAAACAAGAATAGACCCACTGCCTCTACAACAAGCATGTTGTAACAGTCGACTAACTGGGCTCTTCCTTCGAAGTTGCAGTGCATCTGCTTGAGTGGCAAGGAACCAACAATCTGCATACAATTAAGTCAGATCTGATTAAAGGATGTGCAATCAACACTCAAGTTACAGAACAGAGGTGGACAAACAAACAGAACTTTCTGCCAGAGTTTCCAGTGGATATGAAGAAGAAGATGATGATGATTTCTAATATATCCTTGGAAGATAAAAAGCAGAAGCTCAGGATGATGTAGAAATAAGAAGACTAAAGTGTTTGAACTGATTTACTTTCTACCTGTCATTACTGAACCTGCTCAGATATGGCAATATGATCAGTTACCTTGTTTGTTCCTGACATCCGCTCTGTCTCATTCTCAATCTCTTTACAAACTTCCTTGAAATCTGTGTAGATCTTGTTCTTCGTGTGGAGGAACTTAGCCCACTCTTGTGCTGCGTGCTTCTCTAAGAAATAAAATACAACATTACTTATTTTTTCCCCTCCAGGAAGCCTTGCCAATTTGCATGTAGTGTGTGTGTGTGTGTGCACACACCACTTGCCTGCCATACTTTTTTTTTCAACTTCTTTTATTATCATTCTGTGTTTACCCTTACAAAGGCAGTTGGAATACTGTATTGTAGTTAACTGCTAGCCGCTAGGCAGCAATATCTGCATAGTTTGCCCCAACACATCCAATCCCTGATTAGTTGTCTGTTATGACATGCTTGTTAAGGGACAGTTGCTCTGTTTGTCCCTCCAAAAAAGGCACCAGGAATCAAATGGAGGAAGCCAGCTGATTCTGCCCAACAGTACAAAAGTTGCAGAAGTTTTTATTTTTAACCAGAAAATGCCTCTTCAGTATTTTAGTAGTATTACAAAATTAATTAATTAAATACAAATAACAGAAGAGAAGAAATGAACTTACGCCCATCCTCATGACGAAGCCGTGAATTGTCTCTGGAAATGTGTAAAAGCTGCAGCACCAGAGGCCTTCGAGTTACAATACCTGTACCCCTTGGAAGAAAGTCATGGCCGACGAGTGTTTCAAGCACAGAGCTTTTCCCAGAGCTCTGAAGAAAGGAAGGCAAAAAAAAAAAGAATAGTTGATATATATATATACATACTATCCTTATTCAGTAGCTGAGCTGTAGTTGTTAAACAAGATTTGGCTATCTTCCAAATAACGGTCCCAAATTATCGAGGCCGAAAATATACCCTAACAGGGCCTTAGTCGCATTTCAATTGCAGACTTTCGCCACCGCCGAGAGTATCTCCCACGCCGCTACGCGCTGTGTGGAGTGGGGCTAAAATAGATGGGTGGGACTCAAGAGCAAATAAAATTAAGGAAGCCACAGTAAATGCGGTAGCTGATGCTCGTGAGTCCCAGCCATCTAGTTTTGTCCCAATCCATGCTGCGCAGAGCAGATACTCTCGGTATTGGCGGTAGTCGCCGGAAGTCCGCAATTGACTTGTGACTGAGGCCTTGTTAGGATATATTTTCGGCCTCGATAATTTAGGGCCGTTATTCTGAAGATAGCCCAAGATTTGAATATTTTATTTTAAAATAAACAAGACGATGTAAAAAATGTACACTCAACTATCGAGGCATGTTATTATCATGTTAGAATGCATAAATTTCTTAACTGTGTTCAGTTCTTGTGGAGCGAGAATGAATGATTTATTTATTACAACTGTTGGTGTTACACTTCAACTCTTTTACTTTCTGTCCCACTGGTCTGTTGTGTGTTTTAATGTTAAATATCAATATTAAAATATTGGCTCTCCTTAGTCCCCATGTTATGGCGGCCAAACAAATCACCTAACAGGGCTTCAGTCATGTGTAAAGTGCGGACTTCCTTTGACGAACACATCGCAGCAAAACTAGGATTACTGTCCATTGACAGTTTCAAGAAATGCAATAATACACAAGATAATAGCTAAATGGCGGGGAGACCACGTGCTCCGACGCAGGTTAGCGATAGTGTTCTTACGATTAAACTCACCGCTGAGCATATCCCCCGCCCCGATGAGGGGGCTAAACTAGATAGCTGGGACTCATGAGCAGCAGCTACTGCATCTCCTGCAACTTCCTCCAATTTATCTGCTCGTGAGTCCCAGCCATCTAGTTTAGCTCCCAGTCTGCGATGCACGTAGCAGCACAGGGAATACTGTCAGTGGTGCGGCATAGTCGCAGAAACAGGTCCGCAATTAACATTTCGCTGAGACTCTGTTAGAGTACAGTAGAACCTCGCTTAACGAGCACCTCTCATAACGAGTAATTCGCATAACGAGCAAAACAAATTGTAAAAGAATGGCTCGCTTAACGAGCAACGTTTCGCATAATGAGAGGTGCATTGTCGCTTGTGATCACACATTTTCTCAAACTTGTGTTATATTGTGATATATGTACATGAATCCTCCAGGCCTACAAGATGACCTCCCTAATGAATTTAAGTTAATCAAGATCCAGTTTCTGCCTCCCAACACCACTACGTTACTCCAGCCAATGGACCAGCAAGTTATTTCTAACTTTAAGAAGCTATACACTAAAGCACCCTTCGAGCATTGTTTTCAGGTGACTGAAGGGACCAACTGCACTCTCAAAGAGTTTTGGAAAAATCACTTCCATATCGTTGCCTGCCTCAAGATGATCGACAAGGCGGGGGAAGTGGTTAACAAGAGAATCCTAACTTCTGCTTGGAAGAAGCTTTGGCCGGAGAGTGTTGTCGATTTGTGACTTTGAGGGGTTCGTGACAGTACCTGTGGAACCTGTAGTCAACGAGATTGTGTCTTTGGCCACTATCATGGGATTGTAGGTGGATAACAGTGATATCAAAGAGCTTGTGGAAGAGCACAGCCTAGAGCTGACCATTGAAGAGCTTATGGAGTTGCATTGTGTTTCACAGCAAGATGTTTTGGAGGAAAGTTTGTAAGAGGAGGAGGAGGTAACAGAAAAGCAACAATCTTCGGGCGAAAATAGAAAAATGCTGAAAGCATGAGAAACTGTTGCTTCTCACATTAAGAAGCATCACATTAATAAGGAAGTGGCTATGCGCGCTGCAAATTTAATGATAATGATGTGTCGCATTTTCGCCAAATTTTGAAGCGTCGACAAAAACAAACGTCTCTGGGCATCTTTCTAGTAAAAAAAATAATTAGCTATGTATCATAATTATTTCTGCAAATCGAATTCGCATTCCATGTGGGTTCATTTCGCGTTTGAAGAAAAGATGAAGATGATTCACTCTCCTTAAATATGTATATAATTTTCTTTGAATAAATGTTATAGTATAACTTATGCATAGCATTTTGTGATTATTGTTTTCGACATGGAACGCATTATCGTATTTTACATTAAATTATTTGAGAAAAATTGCTTCGCATAACGAGTGTTTCGCTCAACGAGTATGATTCTGGAACGTATAATGCGAGGTTCCACTGAATTTGTTTGCCCTTGATAATATTGGCCCGTTATTCAGAGGCAATCCTAGTTTTGCCGCGATTTGTTCCTCGGCAGGCACTCCGAAATTTGCATATGAGGCCCTGTTAGGGTATTTGTTTGGCAGCCATAATATGGGGATGAAGTTCGAAGGAGAACTAAAATAAAGGCTATCCTCCGAATAACGGGCACTAAAGATGACGGCCGCAAAATATCCTTACGAGCCTCAGTCACGTGTCAATTGCCCACTTCCGGCGACTTAATTTGCGGTTTTCCTGCGACTACTGACACCGCTAAAAGTCCCCCCATGCCGCTCACGCGGCATGGATTGGGGCTAAACTAGATGGCTAGGACTCACGAGCAGCAGCTTCCGCATCTCCTGCAGCTTTGCTCGTGAGTCCTAGCTGCATTAGCGGCGTGGGGAACTCTTTGCGGTGGCTGTAGTCGCCGGAAAACCACAAATTAAGTGACACGTGACTGAGGCTCGTAAGGATATTTTGCGGCCGCCATCTTTAGTGCCCATTATTCGGAGGATAGCCAAAATAAATATTAGTTAAGTTAAAGCTTCCATAACTCTCAAGGACTGTTACTCTAATGTAGGTCCTACAGTTTCGGAAATTTGCGATCTTTTCGACAATTTCTGTTACCATGGAAACCGTTTAAAACTTGTTTCGGAAATGTCCGCTGGGGTTTCGGGATGGGTCCTAATCTCTGATGAAATTTTGCGATTGGTGTGATTTTCACCCACTCTAAATAGCTGAAAACGGCGGGAAGGAACCCGATTAACAGCGCATGTGTACGACAGCCGGACATCCTCTGTTTTTCTGTTAGTCTATCAGTTTGATTGAAAATAGCGGTAAATTCGAGGTTGGCTTTAGGCTTAAACATTACCAGATGTGGTAATGCTAGTTATAATTGAATTCTCCGTCCAATTTTACATTTGTATATAAAATTTCTTTCCCGTCTTCGTCTGTTTAGATTTACAGTGACATTTTTTAGGCAATCGCATGAGGCTGAGTCTCATTGCCTGCCATCTTGTCCAATGACAGTCCAATGTCAACAAAGCCGATACAGAACTGCGCAGTAGGTTGCGCAGTGAAAAAATTCTTGTTTCTGGGTCACAAGTTTTAGCGGCTGTTTCTTACATCTCATCTCCACAAAAACATACATATATCAGCTCAGAAATGACATACAAGCCTAAATGAGGTACCATTGGAAAGAGATTGTTTACAGCTATCTAACTGTGCTGGTTTTATTGGTGTAGAGGGCATTTTAAAAATTTCACTGAAGTAGCTTCTCTAATGCACACATACATACTATGAGTTAGACGGTGTTAACTGTTAAAGTAACAAATACATGGAACTAAGAGAGATAAATTAGCCCACTTATTAATAAGCGACTGACTAAACTAACAACTCAACCCGTCATTGTCCCTGGGGACATCACTCAGTCATCACAAACACAAAAATACACAAATGCTTTTGTTTTTAATAAATTTAAGCGAGTCTTAACAAGGACCGCAGATTAAGCCAGCTATACCTGATTTCCAATAACAACAATCTGTGGTAGCTGTATAGTCTCGGAGCCGACTGTATTGAACACATCCTGGAGTTTGTTTATGACAGGAATTAATGACTCCATTTCGCCTTTGAACTGACGAAGTTTGGTGTCGGCCGAGTCCTGGAGGGTACCTAACTCTAGTTCATTTCCAGGAATTGTAACTCTTTCGAAACATTCTAATACCCGAAATAATTCCCCAAACATCGTTATCAACATCATCATCATACAACTTGTTCTTGCTTGAGTTGAGAAAAGGTGACCATAAAATCTTGATCTGCAAACGGGACATTCCACTAATATTTTAATTTGGAAACTGTACATCGTATCGTATCGTTAAAAAAAATGAAATACTTAGTCCTTTTTTAGCCGCCTGAAGGCCTGCTTTATCAAGGATATCCTTTACTATGTTATTTTAGTTCTGTTCCTTTGTGGACTGCACATCCCAAGCAAGTCAGTTTAACTGTACACTCCCCTCACAACACAACAAAAATGTTTGGAATGTATTATTAATATTATTATTAGTGAAAGTGAAGTAAAGGACCCTTTTCCATGCCTTTATACATAGGCCTATTGTGCATAAGGGGCTAGGCCTATATTTTATAGACTTATCTTCTTCTTCTTCTGCCTTTCTATCCCCTAATGGAGCATAGGCCCTCAACCAACTCACGCCAAGTCGTTCTATCCTTCGCCATTGCACGGAGCTCTCCCCATGTCCTCCCAATCTTTCCAACCTCATTCTCCAGTTCTCTTCTCCATGTGTTTTTTGGCCTTCCTTTATTTATATGCCCCTGTGGGTTCCAATGCAAAGACATTCTAGTTATGCTGTTCTCCTGTTTTCTCAGTGTGTGCCCTATCCAACGCCAGCGTCTTAGCGCCCTTTGGATATTTACCGATGCCGATGTGTTGGAAAACGAGCAGGCAGATAGACTGGCAAGTTCTACACCACTTGGTGGAAATTGGGGTTTGACAAGCTAGATGTTGTGATGGCCCGTTGGGAGCGAGTGAACAATGAGGAGGTATAAATAGGTTATTACGGTCTGAGGAGAATTGCGCTGCGAGAACTTACCAGATGATCTGGCAGACGTTCAACACTCAAGGGAAAGGCGAGACGAATATAAAATCAGACGGTTACTGGTGCCATCGGAATATAAACTTTCTGCTTGCTTCTGAAGATGGGTACGGACCGCTTATGGGGGTATCCCGAGTGCTGTTATGTTGATTCTTAATTCAACATTCACCCTCTACAGATACAGATTTTCAGTAGTTTCATGTTTACTTTTTTCCTCATTTCACCGGTAAGAGATCACCTCAGCCTTGTGCCGTTGCACCTCATTCCCAAGGAAGACCAGTCCATGCAACATATCTACGTGTTTATTCCCAACCACGCCTACATTGCCCCAGCAAAATATCCATAGATTCTTGTTACCTGCAACCTCTAAACCGATGCGACCCATTCCATACGAAGAAAACCTGACTCCACTTTCCCGTTCAAGCTTTGTGATTGCGATACAATGAAATGTGAGGTTGAGAATGTCTCCACCCACCGGAACACTGCAGATTCCTTTGTAAAATTGACACCTGTTTTATAAGATACTTGAGGGAAACCAGCAACGTAACCACTCGAGATCGAGGGACAAATGATACTATTACTATCCGACATCTTGTATCAGATTCACTGTGAAATAAAAGATCAATAGGATGCTCATCTCGTAAGAGTGCACCATCCTCATCTTCAGCAGCCCGCGCAGAGTTCCAATACTGATGGTATCGGTCACAATCTCCCATAGAGCGCTAGACATCAAACAGTTTCTCCCACCGGCACAAAAGTAGAAGATGTTGGTATGGTGATGACGACGATAATAATGATGAGTAATTACCCTATATTTCGGTAGTTAGACAACAAGCATCAAGTAGAAGATCAAGGACACAGGAAGAACATCCACAATGTGTCGGATTCAAGTTTTTGGTACAACCCGACAAGGTTAGCTAGCACACTGCTAGCGATTCTGGTGTGTTTTAGCTTTCTGTTGTTCTCTGTCCTTATGCCATAACTTATGCATAAGTCAGGGGCATTTTAATATTTTGTGTGTGTGTGAAAGGTAACTATATAAGTTCTTTTGTTATAATTTAATTGGAAGTTACGGTCAGAGTTTTTTCTTTCTGTAATTTTATTATTTGTTGACTGACTTTTGAAGTTTCTAGTTCTTCTCTTCAAATAAGTTTAAAATAATTAATAAAGTATAATATATCATACTACGACAGATTTGCAAGGATTTTAGAGAGGCGCAGTGTGAACAGACTTTGCACTATTCATTCAAGTTACTGAAGTACACTTTTCACTTTTCTGACACATTTTCATTTTTTTTTAGTTTAATTTTTTTTTTTTTTTTGGCTTTATTTGGAATAACGGTTCTAAATGAACTACGCAGAAAGTTAATCCCAAACAGAGCCTCATTACGTCCTGCCCTACAAACATTTAAAAGCTGTCACTCGGGAAATATAAGGAACGGAAAGTATGAGGAAAATAAGGGAATTATAGTACTTACCAATATTGAAATCCTTTATACTTTATATGTTAAAATTGTGGCAGAGAAGTTGCAAATAGTGCCCGAATATCTGTTCTTTCTCGCTGTGCCACCATTGGAACTCTGCCAGATAAGATGCGAAGAGGGCACGGCTTGTCCCCAGTTGACAGCGGAATCTTCGTTTAAGCAGCATCCATAGCCCCTCAATGGTTTGTGTGTGGACCTCATTGTCTGTGCTGTCGACAAAATTAGTTCCATGCACTACTACTGCGTGATCGTAGATGTCATGTTTCAATTTTCTGACGTTCCTGTAGCCTCGCCAAGCGTCAGTCACAATTCTGGTCCCAGGCAACACATGATGAGTTATGACGCGTTCTAATGTCGGCTCTTCTTTCACGACTATAGTGCCACCTCCGAGAGTATCCCCCACGCAGAAGGAACTTAACTAGATGGCTAGGACTCACGAGCAAATACATTGAAGGAAGCTGCAGGAGCTGCGGTAGCTGCTGCTCGTGAGTCCCAGCCATCTAGTTTAGCCCCCTCCGCGCCGCGCGGGGATACTCTCGGAGGTGGTACTATAGTCGGCGAAAAGCAATCGGCAACTTACATATAACTCGGGCCTGCCATAGGATAGCGCTATCTGGAGTATTGTCGCGTGTCGGTAATTTTTTCCGTTTGCAGTTAATCCTTGTTTTTCCGCCATCTAATCGCCGTAAAAAATCCGTTGCGTTCCACGAAACTGTCGTGTGCAGTTAATGCTACTTTTGACACGGTTGAATCGCCGCAAAAGAAATGCGACTTTTACATATGTGTGAGGCTCTGTTTGGGTTAACTGTCTGCATTGTGAGGCTCTGTTTGGGTTAATTTTCTGCATAGTTCATTTAAAACCGTTATTCCAAGTCAAGCCTCAGGGTCTCAGCGATATGTTACTTGCGGACATGTTTCTTACTGTTTCTGATTACCTAACAATTCTAAGAGACGCAACAATGCAGACGATAGTAGCAGACGATAATAATAGCGACCATTGACACTTTCCATTGTCGAACTTTCTGCCGACGAACAAATCGTGGCAAATCTAGGATCGGCTCGGAAAAACAAAACAAATACTCTAACAGGGTCTCAGCGATATGTTACTTGCGGACCTGTTTCTGTGACTATGCCTCACCGCCACCGCGGATAGGGGCTAAACTAGATGGCTAGGACTCACAAGCAGCAGCTACCACATCTCCTGCAGCTTTCTTCATTTTATTTGCCCATGAGTCCCAGCCATCTAGTTTAGCCCTAATCCATGCCACGCGCAGCGGCGTGGGAGATACTCGCGGCGGTGGTGGAAGTCCACTTCTGTGCCACTGTTTTCAGATATAAAGGCCTCAGTTATTGCTAAGTAGTAGATTTTGTAATTGTCCCTTTTTTCGTTCCTCATTATTTTCGAGTTCAAGTTTTATAAGGTTTACAACACACGACCTTATGAGGCCCTGTCAGGGTGTGTTTTTGGCCGCCATAATATGTGGCCGTTATTCAGAGGATAGCCTGCTCCTTTTCTACCTTGGGGTGTAGAGGTTTGTCAGTGAAGAGAGATCGCCAGACTTCTCTATCAGCAGTTTTGACTTCATTTTACTAGACTATTGTATTATTTTATGTATCATGTGATTCGGCTTCCCAGCGCGAAACTCAGCAGTTTCAGCAGCTACCCCCAGGAATATTTTAAACACTCTCAATTGCAAAATAAATGACTTATAAACTGTACCAACAGTATTCTGATGTATGCAACAGAGTGAAAGGCCATTACTCATTACGCCCAAAATTCGCTGGGGGGAATGGTACCTTATTTATTTAATTATTTCATGGATTTTACTGTAAACTTGTGTTTACTCTGGACAGCTGTTTTTGAATGTGATGATTAATGGATCGTTTTTTTTTTTCCGATCGAACGAATCTTTCACAGGGGTTGTCTAAGATCTTCGGAAAACACATATTCACTGAAATTATGAAAGAAAATAATTGTTTAGGGGTGGCCAGGACACGAGGGCACTGTATTAAAAGGTTGCAGCATTAGGAAGGTTGAGAGCCACTAGTCTAGAGGGTTTTCAGCCTGCAGAAGAAAAACACAGGCAGACTTTTAATCAGGCCGCAACTGACACCATCATTGTGCTAATTTGTCATTTGCATCCTGCGGTTTCTGAAGCCTAGTTTTTTTTTATTTGCTGCTGAGGAAGGGGACAGAACATATATGGCACTGCCCAGATGTCAATTCTTGATTCTCCTGTCCGAGTTCCAGGGCCACGTTTAGAGGGGGGGGGGGGGGGGGGGGGGGGGGGGGGGGGGGGGGGGGGAGATTAGACCCACTGTTTCCTAGTAAGCATGTTGTATAAGAGGTGACTAATTAGGGTTGCTTCTTTTTGAAGCCAGAGAGACGAGGAACCAACAGTTTGCTTGCAACAACAACAAAAAGCCAGATATGCAGGAATGTATGTGAGTGCAAAACTCAAGATCTCGAACAAGACCAAAATCAAGAAGTGGACAAACAACAGAATTTTGCACTAGTATTTACAGCCGGTGAACGCTAAGAGGAATTGTTGATTCATTTATTCAATGAATTCATGTACATTGCAGATAAACTTGCATCCTGAGGATGAGTGAGTACGCTAGACGTATGGCTTACCTCTCATCCAGGATTTTCGGAGAATTGATGAAAGGGACACATGCTAAACAAGTCAAAGTTGTTACTAACTTCTCCGTTCAGCCTCGCCACAAAAACAACTTCTATGTCAACTATTACCCGCCATACATGAAAATTGAGCTTGCTCTTCAGAATTTGCGCTACCATGGTCTCTACAGGTATGTCTCAGTTGCATCAATAAAATTATTGGTTTTTGTTTTTCTATAACATTGAATTGCTTGTATTTCCACTATTTCCCTAATAATCCATAGAGAAAGACAAAGATAACTGTATCTAGGTGTTCATCAGCTGTGAAATCCAGCAAAAAAGTTATGGCTGTTTGTCCACTTCTAGACTTTGGTCTTGTTGCAAAAATTGTAGTTGTGCATACACATCAACAGACTGATAGTTGCTTGCTTGTCAGGATGAGCCGCTTCGACTTTCAAGGAAAGACACCTAGTTAGTCCCCTTTAATGACATGCTTGTCAGGATGAGCCGCTTTCGACTTTCAAGGAAAGACACCTAGTTAGTCCCCTTTAATGACATGCTTATTAGGAGGCCATTGGGTCTGTCTTCCCCCCCCCCCCCCTCCCCCCTTTCAAGAAAAAAAAAAAAACCCACAGATTAAAAAAAAAGCCAATTCTTCTCCCCCCCCCCCCCCCCCCCCCGTCTTTTTCCAAACTTCCAAATTGGGCCTGGAACTCATATTTAAAAAAAAAAGCAAGTAGATATGATGCATGGGAACAATCAGTAGAGGTACCTTAGAGTTTATCCCCTTTAATGAATGCTTGTCAGGATGAGCCGCTTCGACTTTTCAAGAAAACACACACCAGTTAGCATGCAGCATCGAAGGGCTGATCACGCATAGGGGTGCCCAGTGTGCAAAGACGTCGTCGATTGTGATAACATAACTTGTAAGTGTATGCACATAAAAGATATATATATATAGTAAAAGTCCCTTTTTGCACTTGATGTGCGTATAGTGCTAGACCCATATGTTTTAAGACTAGTCAGTGCTTTATGAGTCATGTTGTCAACATCAGCGGAAGCCACTTTTACTTCCCATGACATTTCCTGGTATCTATTTTAAGCTGTGCCACCTGGGGGTCAAAGTCAGTTGTAGAAATGTTGCTGTTGTGCAGATTCTGTCCTAAGACTCTTGAGCTGGCAGACAGGCATTTAACTACAAAGCTAAAGCAGCTCCTTGTATGCACATACCATATTTTTCCATGTATAAGAGATGACCCTTGATTTTGTAACATAGAATTAAGAAATGAATATTTTAAACACATTTAATGTGTAAGACAACCTTTTCAGCTGTAAAATTACAATATTTCGGAAAACATATGATCTTTTACACACAAAAATACAGAAACTATGACCATAGACACATGGGAATATCCCTAATAGACCAGACCAAGTCACCATCGTGCACTTACTAACTGGGCAATGCAGACTCAAAAAACAAAAACAAATTAGGTATGAGCCAGCTTTCTGCGGGTGTCTTCATACTAAACAGCCCCCAGAAAACATCTCACAAGACCTGTCCTCTTCTTAGGAGTTGTGACCAAAGTTATGGCCACACCCAATAGACCTGGCAACTGAGCTTTGGGAAAACCTGAGAGATCTTGCTTGAGCTGACATCCCAGGCCTGTCGTGGATTAAGCGCATGACCAGAGATGACTCAAGATGAAGAAATTTCTTATTGTCTTTTTAGCCTAATGTGACCTCATTTTGGTCTTATATTTTCACTCAAATCATTTTCAGAGATGAGCATCAAGATTTCAAGGAAGAGATGATACGATTGAGAGCATTGAGAGGAAAAATGAAACCCAAGAAAGGAGAAGGAAAACGAGCCATGAAAAAAAAGGCAGCTGGTTCTTAATTATTTGCTTAATGTGTTTATTTTTTTAAATCTAGAATAGTTTTGTTTGGATATAAATGCATTATTTGTAGTAACTTTTGAAGTGAGCGTTTAAAAAAAAAAAATATTTTGTGAAAGTGGTACGGTTTATGAAAAATTGTTATGTATAGAAGAATGCTGGAGTCTCACTGCCTTTTGTGAATATTGTTTTGGTATGCTTACTTTGAATAGCGTAGTGAACATGTGGATAAATTGTTCAGTCCCTTTTTGGTTTGCTATTACAACCATCCCACCTCCCAAAAATTATATTGGATAGTTTGGCTTAAACATGTGAATGAATAACTATTTGTGTTTGATGTACTGTTTGTCCGAGTAATCATATGGAAATATTTCAAAATAAAGGGTCATAAAAATTGATTTGAAATGTGTGTTGTTTACTTTTAAAATAATACATCTAAATATTTGCCAATTTATGTGTCGGTGGGGTGTTTAATTTACTCTGTTTTTTTTCTGTGGCTTAAGCATAATTCTGAGGTGTTGGGTTCTATCCCAGTTCGTGATTTGGCAGCAGACTGCCTTGTGTTGATTTTGACAGTGGTCTTAAGAGCGAACTATTGAGAAAACAGTGGCAAACTACTGAACATAAAATTCCTCGGTGAAATCACAAACAGCCAAAAACACGTTGGGGTTGGTGGCTGTAACATCCTGCAAAGGATACACAGCTAACTTTTTTGTTGTTAGTTTAAAGAGATATAACATTAATAATCACAAAAGCATTGCTGAGGGAAAATATTTTATTCTGTACTACCCATGCCTGTTATGAGATTTAAAACCACCATGATTCCTACGCCACCTGTAAAAGAACCAGTGTCGACTTACGCCAGATCTAACTATATACCAATTTAAATGCACCTGTAACGCTGCATATGTGGGCAGAACTGATCGACGACTGGAGAAACAGGTTGCTGAACATATTCCACTATGGGTGGTAAAAGCAAGGCAGAACACTAACACCTCAGAACATCGAATCAGGTGACTGGTCGACAAAATCCATCATCAGCAATTGCGTGCCATATTCTAAATTCCGGTCACATCAACAGGGATGATGCATTTCGAATTATTTACAATTCGGCCAACCGTAGATTACTCCGATACGCGGAAGCTACCGCGATCAGCCAGTTGAAACCAGATCTCTGTAGGCAGAAAGAAATGGTCAGTTAATAATGAACATCACAGCACTCGGGACATTCTTATAAGCGCTCTGTCCTCATCTTCAGCGGCAAGCAAAGAGTATCAGTTCTGATGGTACCAGAAACTGTCTGATTGTACATTCCTCTCACATTTTTATTGATCCCTGTGTGGGTTCCGGGGACCCATTGTAAGGAAAACAAGAATAGACCCATTGTAAGGAAAACAAGAATAGACCCATTGTAAGGAAAACAAGAATAGACCCATTGTAGGGAAAACAAGAATAGACCCATTGTAAGGAAAACAAGAATAGACCCATTGTAGGGAAAACAAGAATAGACCCATTGTAGGGAAAACAAGAATAGACCCATTGTAATGAAAACAAGAATAGACCCATTGTAGGGAAAACAAGAATAAACCCAGAAAACAAGAATAGACCCATTGTAGGGAAAAACAAGGGAAAAATAGACCCATTGTAAGGAAAAACAAGAATAAGACCCATTGTAGGGAAACAAGAAAAGAACCATTGTAGGGAAAACAAGAATAGACCCATTGTAAGGAAAACAAGAATAGACCCATTGTAAGGGAAACAAGAAAAGAACCATTGTAGGGAAAACAAGAATAGACCCATTGTAAGGAAAACAAGAATAGACCCATTGTAAGGGAAACAAGAATAGAACCATTGTAGGGAAAACAAGAATAGACCCATTGTAGGGAAAACAAGAATAGACCCATTGTAGGGAAAACAAGAATAGACCCATTGTAAGGAAAACAAGAATAGACCCATTGTAAGGAAAACAAGAATAGACCCATTGTAGGGAAAACAAGAATAGACCCATTGTAAGGGAAACAAGAATAGAACCATTGTAGGGAAAACAAGAATAGACCCATTGTAGGGAAAACAAGAATAGACTCATTGTAAGGAAAACAAGAATAGACCCATTGTAGAGAAAACAAGAATAGACCCATTGTAGGGAAAACAAGAATAGACCCATTGTAGATAAAACAAGAATAGACCCATTGTAGGGAAAACAAGACACCCATTGTAAGGAAAACAAGAATAGACCCACTGCCTACCCAAAAGCATGTCGTAAGTCAATTAATTGGGAGCTTTCTTCGAAGTCAGAGTGCATTTGCCTGAGAGGCAAGGAATCAACAGTCTGCACACATATGAATCAGATCTGTAAAACAGATGCACACACAACACTCGGGTTCTGGAACGGGACTACAGTCAAAAAGTGGACGAACAACCAGAAATTTCCGCCAAAGTTAACAGCAGGTGAACAAAGAAGAAGAAGAGGAAGATTTCGCTTGAGTGCCATTCTCCTCAGACCGTGGTGAGATATTTGTGCCTCCGCACTGTTGACTCGCTCGCCAAGGGCCATCACAACATCTAGCTTGTCATGTGTCAGTTCACCTCTAAGCTGCGCAGACTGGCCAGTCTATCTGCCTGTTTGTTTCCAAACACACCAGCAAGACCTGGAGAAAATATGCACACAACTACCCCTGACGTCTGAAGCAATGCTTGCCATCCTGCACGGAGCATGCCTGTCTCCACCCTTCTCAATATACTCTGTGAGTCAGTTACAGTTATGACATGCATGTACAGCTGATTATGAAGCCAGCTGAAAGCGACAGTGACTGCCTCCACCTCCATTTTTAAATTATACGTGATATCAAATGCTTGGCTGTTGCACTAAGCTACTTCCATTCACTTTTCTGTATGAACTTTGTCTGCCTCCCAACACAGAGTCATCACATCACCTGGGCAGAGACTGTCATAAATTATTTGTTGAACTTCTGATTCTGCAGCAGTCTCTGCACTCACGACCTAAAGTGATTAGAATCCTAAACAAGTCTAATTCTTGTCGCCCAAATTTATCAAGCCTGCACACATGTTTAATTGTGTCTTCAGCTTGCACCATCCAAGATCTTCCTTTTTTTCAGTCTGTGACCCTTAGCTCTACCTGGGGCTTCATGAAAATTAAATCAAGCTAAATTCCATTGATCATATGTGTTGCTGCACAGTGTTTAACCCTCTCGTCCTTGAAGTGTAAAACCCAGCGCTTCCAGTTTGTCCCCCACAATATGTATATGTACCTTTTCAATGGTGTTATAGGAATTTGTTTATTAGAAATCCTGCTAACAGCTTTGCTTCTATTTTTCTAGGGCAACTTTTTATTAGGCCATGCATGAGCCTAGTTACTAAAAATAGCCTTGGGGGGGGGGGGGTATCGTGGAAAATGTCTATGAATATTTAGACACCGGAATTTCCAGTTAGTTACAGTGGTTACTGAAGGCCGGATCACAAGGTCAAGAAGGAGTCACGCTAAACATTTTTTAACTCTTTAAGTCCCAAGGAACGCATCATAGTTCACAAGTTCCTACCTAGAAGCCCAGTGAATGCAAGATGCACCCATTTTACGTCTCTCTTGACTACACCTTAGGCCTCTGTTGCTAAACCCCCGGTAATCAAAGAGTTAAAGGTCAGAGAGGTGTAACCTGGTAAAGTTCTCTGCCTCATTAATATTTATAATATTGATTACTTCCGTTATTTTGTAGCCAATGAAATGTTGATTTGATCCATACGTGGAATTGTTATGCATTTGCTTTGGCAAAAGGATCAAAGGGCGGGGTATAAATTTTGTAACCAAAAAGATCATTTAGGAGTCTTTGTGACCTCCATGGCTTTAAAAAAGCCACGTTGATGTCAAACGTTCCCGTAAACCTCAGTTATGTTATCACAATCATCTTAGCATCATTGGGCTTCACAATGATTGCTCAGTCCTCCGATGCAGCAGCCACTCCAAGATACCTCTACTGATTGTTGATTATAGTGTCTTCTGTCTTCACCTCGAAGACGACACAGACGTGCTTAACCAAGCTTAACTCCTTGGTCACACAGTCATGTTAGTGTTTGAAATTTGCCATTATTCCCCCCAACCTAGTCCATACAGCGTTAATCTTCTTCTTCTTCGCGTTCACCGGCTTTAAACTTTGGCGGAAAGTCCTGGCTGTTTGTCCACTTCTTTACTCTAGTCCTGTTCCAGAACCTGAGTTTTGCGTGAACATCCGTTTCACAGGTCTGACTCATTTGCATGCAGACTGTTGGTTCCTTGCCTCTCAGGCAGATGTACTCCAACTTCGAAGGAAGTTACCAATTAGTGGACTCTTATGACATGCTTTTGTGTAGGCAGTGGGTCTATTCTTGTTTTCCCCACAATGGAAATCACATTGGAAGCCATGTTTCTTAGTATGCTCCGTTAATAACCTGGACGGACTAATTTCGAATAGATTTATGTAACAATGTAATGAAATGTTATTTAGTTCGACGTTAGTCTACCAAAACAAAGTAGGTCAGTTTTCATTGACAAGTTTCTTGGGCTGGTCCACTTTCTTGGAAGTTATGGGTGTGTCCTGCTCTCTTGTTTGGTTTCTTTAATGTCTTGCATTAACGTTTTCATTCCGAGAAATCTAATGCTTGTAACACAGGTTTCAACACTCTCTAGGGAAGTTGTGTTAGACTCAACTTGTCCTTGTTTTTGGAGAGTTAAAAGCGCTGCCGTGCTGAAATATGGAAGACACGATATCAACAGTATTGCGGAAAACCCTTGTCACTTTGTGACAAGGTAGCATGCCTCAAGGTCGACCAATCAGAAGTGAGCTAGGGTGAAGGTTGACAAATCAGAAGTAAGCTGGAGTGTGAGAGTATGTAAATGGGCGGACTAACTCAAACTAACCGAAATGTTATATTTAGGACAAACAATAAGCATGCGATGCATTGGTTGGTCCGGCATGGGTAGGTGCTGCCCAGTGTGGATGTCAGTGACATT